CGAATCAATGCCATCATTGCCCCTGACAGCCTCGTCACAGAGTCGCACCAAAAAAACGTACTTCAAGATCTATTGAAGATTCCATCATCCAAATACCTAATCCTCGACATCAGCCGTAAAAACGTGCTTAGAGATGCCTTCGACCAACTCTGGCGACGGCAAGAGCGCGAACTTATGAGGCCGTTAAAGGTTCATCTCGGGGAAGACAGTGGGGAAGAAGGGTTCGACTCTGGTGGTGTGCAACAGGAATTCTTTCGTCTCGCTATTGCCGAGGCTTTAAATCCTGCTTACGGCGCCTTCGTTATCGACGACCGGACGCGGATGACGTGGTTTCAACCCGGTTCTGCTCAACCGGAGTGGAAATTCGAACTAATCGGGCTGCTTATGTCGCTGGCCGTTTATAATGGACTAACTCTCCCAATCACGTTCCCAAAGGCCCTATACCGCAAGCTTTTAGGTGAGCCCGTCACAGAGCTACATCATATCGCTGATGGGTGGCCAGACCTCGCCAATGGGTTAACCAACATTCTTGAATGGAATGAGAAGGATGGTTCTATAGAGGACGTCTTCGTTCTAACTTACGAGTTTTCCACGTCCATGTTTGGCCAGCCCGTCTCACGCGAAATGGAATCGTCGAATTCGATGTCTTGGCCACAATTCTCCAGCCATCCGGAGTCTACTCCCCTCTCGGCATCTAACCCAAGCGATGCACCACTAGTTACAGGTGATAACCGTAACGCTTATGTGAGCGACTACATCCGATACCTAACCGACGTTTCGGTCGCTCCCCAATTCAACGCCTTTGCCCGTGGTTTCCGGGCTTGTCTGCACCCGAAATCTCTACAGCTCTTGACGCCATCACTATTACAAAATCTCGCAGAGGGTACGCAGGAGATCGACGTCGGAGAGCTTCGCCGCGCGACACGGTACGTTGGTTGGGACGCATCGCATCGTACCGTGCGCGACTTTTGGTCCATTATTAAAAGATACGATAGCCGTATGCGCCGTAAGCTGCTCGAGTTTGTCACTGCTAGTGACCGCGTACCCGTCGGCGGTATGGCCAACATCCAGTTCGTAGTCCAGAAGAACGGCGAAGAGGAAGGCGAGGGCGGACACCTACCCACCGCATATACGTGCTACGGTACCCTTCTGCTCCCAGAGTACCGCGACAAGGAGGTTCTCCGAGAGCGTCTATCTATGGCGCTCGAGAACGCTCAAGGGTTCGGATTCGCATAAGCTGCGCCGTGTAGCTATATGGCATGCTACTATATTGTAGGCCAAATGAAGATATCCAATAGGGTAGCATTGGCAGTGGTGTACTTCCAACCAGCCGATTGGAAATGCTGTAAGGAGGATAAACAGTATGTTCGATACGTATATACATGAGCCTGGACAACCTAAAAAGGAAACAAAAATTAAAGAGAAGGTTTAAGTAAGCAACTTTCTCTTTTGAAGTATATACCATGGGGGGAAGGGAGGCGTATAGGAAGGCAAAAAGGACTCCGCAGTTATAAGTAGGACTTGGGAGTTCGAGGACGGGATACCACCTACCTACTTCCATCGCCTATTACACATTACACACGCCGTTACACTATCTACCTCGGGGTCGGAGCATGATGGACTAGGTTAGGGACATCGGGGGACTTAGGGGACTGCTTTTATCAAACCCACCGACTCACTCGTACCTTTTATTCACTTACCTAACCTACCCCGGGCACTAGTTGCCTTCAGTACTCGTCTACGGTGTTTTTAGGGTATATATAGTATATAGTAGGGTATCTGTCGTTTTAGCGTGTTTACAAATAAAACGTTGGGAGAGCGGTCATTTTCGGATTCATACCCCCATATATACATGAAGATCTTCTTGTATTGCCTGACGCGTACTTAATGCATGCATGTATAATGTGTCCCGGGGAGGCGGATGAGATAGGTATATCCAAGTGCACATATATAAACTATTCCGAGGCGGCAGATTTCTTGTTTTTTTCTTATTCCTGTCTTGGCTCTCTAATAGATAGATAGGGGTAGGTAAGGTATCGTGACTCTTTGATTTTAAGCCCTTCAGCTGCCATTCCATACATACCTAGGTACATACATAAATGCACGCATCCACCATTTATATCTATAACCTTAACGACGTGCCTCGCCACTTTCTCCCCCATGAGAACACGAGCATTATCGACGCGGCACATCGAGATATAGATCGACGCTGATAGGCAGATAGAGCGAACGAATAAGCTTCACCTTACCACCTAATAGTCTTGGTCCCCGGAGCCGCTAACGATAACGTTGTTGACCTTTAGCACCATACGGCACAGTTGCGTAGCAAGCATGAGCTGCTGGCGCTTGCCGATGAGAGGATCGATAACAAAGGCCTGCTTCATGTCGTTGCTGCCGCCGTTCATGCAGTCGACACCAAGCCTGCCGCGGCCCTCGGGGCCGGCCTTGACCTGCTGAGACTTGACCTCGGCGAGCGTCGCGATGGGGTTTAATCCGCTGTTCTCTGCGAGCGCCATCGGCACCGCGTCTAACGCCTCAGAAAATGCCCGCATCGCGTACTGTTCTAACCCGGGCGTCTTGACGGCCGCGTCCTCGACCGCGAGCGAGCAAGCGATTTCAGCGGCACCACCCCCATACACGACACGGTTGTCGCGGACTAGGTTTCGTACGACGCAGAGGGCATCATGAAGAGATCGTCGGGCTTCGTCGATGATCTAATAGTAAATTAGTTAAGCTCGTATTTAAAAGGGGGTAAAAAGAAACTTACCATCTTGTTGCTTCCTCGGACAAACACCGTCACGGCTCTTGTGTTGGCGCACTCCTCGATCACTAGCATCTTTTCTCTCGTAGTACCAAACTCCATCTCTCGCACAATACCAGCTTTGCCTAGCTTCTCCGGCTTCAGGTCCTCGAATCGAGGTACTATCCTACCATTCGTAGCAATAGCAATAAGTTCGATCTCCGGTCCGCCTACCCATCTTACCGCGGGTAATTCGTTCTGGAGTAATAAGTGGTTAGCTTCGTCGTCGAAACCCCACTGACAGATAGCTAGATTAGCTCCGGTATCTTTGATCTGTTGGATCATCTCGATGAACTTTTCCCGCTCGTAATTTTGTAGCTTCTTGAACTCCTCTACCGAGGTAATCTCTAGCTTATGCTTGGTCTTGGGCTTCGGTGGCTCGAACGCACAGGTGAGAATGGCGATCTTGGCGTCTCTGACTTCTGACGGCATTTGGGGATGTGAGAAGTCCTTGTCAATAATCACACCCTTAACCAGAATGGTGTCTTCCAACGCGCCACCAACCTTGCCATCCACCTTGATCAACTCGAAGTCGACATCTTTTCGTTCGAGGTCGGCGACAGAGAGAACGGCGTCTACAGCAATGTTGGCGAATTGGTCGTGGGCCTTGGACACAATTTTGCTGCCTAAACTTGTCCGAGCTACCTTAACTAGGTTCTCTGTTGATTCTCGGCTGAACTCGATGGTATCTGATATCCGGTCTAACTCAGCTACAGCGATGTCACAGGCTTGATCGTAACCATCTGCTATTCGGATGGGATGGATTCCCTTGTCTATAAGTTCGGCAGCCTGTTCTAAGAGAGCACCGGCTAGGACAACGACACCTGTCGTACCGTCACCAATCTCATCGTCTTGTGACTTGGATAGTTCGACGAGGAGCTTCGCGACGTGGTTCGAGATCTCCATCTGTTGTAGAATGGTAGCTCCATCGTTGGTCACCGTAATGTCTCCGTCAGGCGAAATTAGGATCTTGTCGAGACCGCGAGGACCTAAAGAAGTCTTGACGATATTTGCAACGGTTCGAGCGGCGAGGATATGCGATTTGACTGCTTCGTTGCCGTATTGGCGCTTCTTCTTGCCTTGACTAAGTATAGGAGGTTAGGTATACTGTATGCCTGTGTATCGATCTAGACGGCAGAACTCTCAATACTCACTCCCTAACAATGATGAAAGGTCGCCCCTGCTCATCTTTTACAACGGAAGCTGTACGTGATATAGATTAGTACATAACGTATACAGCTAGCATATATTATGTTGTTTAGCATACCATTCTGGAGGTCGAGATCTAAGGTAGAATATTAGTAAATTATTAAAAGTCATGGCGGGGTTATTGATTGCATACTCAACGCCATTTTTGCCGATTTCTATAGCTCAGGAGAGCTTTATGTGGTGTATTTGATTATATCCCGGCAGTTTGTAACTTCTCTGCTAAGTTTTGACAATATACACCGTTGTATGTTGTGTGTTGTATGTCGTATGGAGTCGTTAACTTGGTAGAGTTCTGCCTCGTCTAGTGGGACGGGATTGTATTGTACCTATTACCTCGAAATTCTGAAATTCTAAAAGATCCAGCCCCACATTCTTCCAGATCGGAAAATTCACAGCGCCGACATCCACTACGTACTACCTCTGGCAGGTACAATACAAGGCACTTAGGTGGTTACATACAACATGTACCTTAGGTAATGAGGTACACACTGTAATTGAGGTCCTCCAGAGCTTTTATCTTATCTATCATGGTAAATCTTATCCTACAGGTTACAATTGACAATTGAGCTTTTCCCATCGCAATGCTAATCGCTGACATGCATACATGCATCTGATCCTCTTTGTAATAGCCCATCGTCCTACATTAAGTCATTACCTAAGTACACGTCTCTAATCAACAAAATCCCCTATCCCCTATCTCTACCTAAGGTACTTTTACCTGTTGGTAATCTCGTAAAATAATAATTACATCACGTATTGGTGATTATACATATGTACCTAACCTTTGCGAACAAGGTCTGAGGTTATACCGCTGTAACATTCAAGAAAAATTTTAATATCTCGGCCCCCTATACTCGGCCGTAATATGTGAGAACCTTAGAAGCAAACCACCATCATTTGACCTAACCTAGGTGATTACGCATAATATCAATTTTCACGAGCCGAGGCACGGGCGACCCGGACATCCAAATACCCCTTCGCATTAACATACATAATAACCAGCAAGATCCATACGATACCCCATAGAAATACAATAATATCAAACCCTCAACTTCTAATTCTAGATACGCCGCGGAACGGTATTTTTCAATACCCACATATATCAAAAATATACTCCCAGACTCCTCGGCATCTCTGATAAGAGAATTAGCCTATTCACTTATACCCCAGCCGGTGGAACCCCAACGGCCCCATACATAAGTACCTGAAAATTGGCTGAGAGGTACACTAACGGCATTTGTACTTGGCCGAGCGGATTGCCCCGCTGACGTTTTGTTGTCTTGCTAACTGGAACTACCTCTACTACATAAAACTACCTAATAAATTCAAATTCCACATTGAAATATTAAGTTGAAGCTACAGCTCCCCCAAGCTTCAACTCCAAATTCAGTTTCAATCTCCAACTTGGCTTTTTTTTTCTGCGGGCTTAAGAGTCAGCGCTCTCTATATTCCTGACCTCTACATAATACGCTTGACATCAATCATGTCCCTCCCAACTCAATACGAGGGCGTGCTTCCGCTCTACAGAGTCCAGAAGCCCCCCTATACGATCGAATCACCTGACGCCGAAGAAGTTGAAGGAGAAACGAAGCCATTCAGACATATCAAGGCTAAGGACGGTCTTATCACACGCCCCGAACCTCACATCACCACTACTTATGATATATTAATCGAGACCGCGAAAAAATACGGCGACAAGGCTGCCATAGGTACTCGTAAACTTATCAAGACTCATACCGAGACTAAGAAAGTAGCAAAAGTTGTTGATGGAGTCAAGACCGAGGTCGACAAAGAATGGACTTACTTCGAATTAACTCCGTACGAATTCCTTACTTACAATGAGTACAAGACCCGAGCTCTAAATGTAGGAGCGGGTTTGAAGAAGCTAGGTCTCGAGACAGGCGACGTGTTGCACATCTTTGCGACGACGAGGTACGGAGTATCCCTTTTATCATGAAGAATCGCTAAAGGCTAACTTGCCTATTTATACAGCTCCAACTGGCAATGCACGGCCCATGCCTGCGCCTCGCAATCCATCACAATCGCAACCGCATACGATACTCTCGGCTCGGATGCTGTCGAATACTCCCTCACGCAAACGAATGCGAAGGCTATGTATACCGACCCCCATCTATTCAAAGTCGCTAGTCGCCCTTTGAAGAATGCAAAAGACGTCAAGTACTTAATCTACAATGACTCGACCAACATGCCCATCTCCGACAAGGAGATGGACGACTTCAAGGCCTCGAATTCTCACCTTACCATTATCTCCTACTCTGACCTAATTACCCTCGGCGAGGAGAACCCTATAGACCCCGTACCGCCGAAACCTACCGATCTGTGCTGTATCATGTACACTTCTGGTTCCTCTGGACCTCCCAAAGGTGTCCCTCTTACTCACGAAGGTGTTGTTGCGGGTATCACCGGTTTATGGACTATTGTCGCCGAGACCGTTTCGCATCGCGACGTCATACTTGCGTATCTCCCCCTTGCCCATATCTTGGAGGTAGCTGTGGAGAATTTAGTCATGTTTATTGGCGGTACGCTAGGCTACGGATCCCCACGCACGCTAGCCGATTCTTCTATGCGTAACTGTGCTGGAGACATGCGGGAGCTTGCACCCACCGTCATGGTTGGCGTACCCCAGATATGGGAGACCATCAGGAAGGGTATTGAAGCCAAAGTTAACTCTGGTGGTGCCCTGACCAGGAATCTTTTCTGGGGTGCTTACAACCTCAAGAGCTTACTTGTGGCAACCGGCCTTCCTGGGAGTGGCTTACTTGATGCCATAGTATTCAAGAAGGTCCGGGACATGACAGGCGGAAGGGTAAGATTCCTCTTCAATGGTGCCAGTGGTATTTCGGATGGCACAAGACAATTCGCAAGCCTGGTACTTGCACCAATGATTACGGGATATGGTCTTACGGAAACAACTGCCAATGGTGCCCTAGGCAACCCGTTGCAATGGACTCGGGACGCCATCGGCCCCATTCCTGCATCGCTTGAGATGAAGCTCGTCAGTATACCTGATCTAGGATACGACGCGAAGAGTAATCCTCCACAAGGTGAGATTCTGCTGCGAGGAGCTCCAGTCTGCAAGGAATATTACAAGAACCCCGAGGAGACCGCGAAGGCGTTTACATCGGATGGGTGGTTCCGAACAGGAGATATCGGTGAGATCGACTCGGTAGGCCACGTCAAGATCATCGACCGCGTCAAAAATCTTGTCAAGATGCAAGGCGGCGAGTACATCGCGCTCGAGAAGCTCGAGGCCGTCTACCGCGGCAGCGAATACGTCCACAACGTCATGGTATACGGCGACAGCGACCACCCACGTGCCATTGCCGTCATCAGCTCCAACGAGAAGCCGCTGAACGACCTAGCGAAGAAACTAGGTGTTGATCACCCTCACAGCGATCCCAAGGTCTTGGATGCAGTCCACAAGGACTTAATCGCAGTAGGCAAGAAGGCCGGCCTGACCGGGTTGGAAATGATCGTTGGCGTCGTAATAGTCGATGAGGAATGGACACCCGCAAGTGTAAGTTTCGACCAGATCCCATCCTTTCCCATCCCACCCCAAACCTAGGATTAGCGCTAACAGACATACCAGGGCTTCGTTACGGCAACGCAGAAGGTAAACCGGAGGGCGATCAAGGATGCCTACAACAAAGAAATCCAAGAGTGCTTTAAGCGCACTTCGTAATGTGCCGCATCGTTTTGATGTAATAGGCGTCTGTCTCCAGGCGTTATGTAATTTGCTAGCCGGCTGGCTCTTCGGCGAGTTGGAAACGGGTCGGTGTAGAATTAGTTGTGCTCCTTGTATTCCGCACGGCGTGTTGCTTTGGTTCTTTTTCGTTTTATACACGCAGCGAAGATTTTAGGTGCCATTTTTTACGTATGTAGAGCTAATGATCCCCCTTTTTCCCATTCGTTTTTTTTTAAACGGTGATTTATCGATTTATTATATGTGAAAATTCCGAGTAAACTAGTTGTTGAGGAATCGTGAGATCGTTTGACCGGATAGGTACTAGGTTAGATATATATACCTAGGTAGGTAGGAAACGTTGAGGTTGGCCAAGAATGCGTATTCGTTTAGTCGACTCCTTTTGTTGGGTTTATCTGGGTCCTCGGGTTCCCGAGCTTGCATGTGAAAGGAAAGGAGTCTTATAGCTATGGTTAGTTAGTTAGTTAGTTAGTGTTAGATATACATATCTAGGTGGATATTGGTAACTATAGCCCTATTTCTCATTACCAAGGCAGATGGTAGCGCACACGTACGAAATACTATCGGAGCGAGGTTAGCTAATATTGCCCTTTTACTACATCAACTCACATCGCCACCGCGTCTAATACATACATAGGCAGGTAGGTATGACGGGAGCTCTGATAAACCGGTTCCTAACCACGACCCTTCGATTGATTAATATAAATAATAATAAGATTCATCTATTAATCCATTTATAATACATATGTATATATTCCGCTACACCTCCGGCAAAGATAACTAAATCGGAAGAAAATAATTCAGTATCTAGCGTTCCCGCCGCAACGCCATGCTTCCAGAAATAAGGCAAGCGTCCGTCTACCAAGATCCCCCAAAACGTCTTTCCAACGTCGTCTATCTACCAAAGTAAGGCAACGGGAAAGAATAATAACGTATATTTAACCCGTGACGAATACCAATCCGATCCGAGTATTCAAGCAGCCCTTTAACGTAACGCTTATGACGGCAGTGTTCTTGCTGAGACGATACCGCGTGGTTTGCATCTTATAATTTTTAATATTCCAAAAATCCAAGGCCTCTAGACGCCTCGTTTCACTTCTCTTCCTCCCAGGTGTAAAGAATATCTCTGCGCTTGTAGTACAGCTGGACGGGCGTCTCCCGCTTCGAGCACTTGTACATCTTCTCGAGCTCTGCTCTCCAGGCCCTCCCGGAGTACAACGTTATAGTCGTGTCGTTACAGTGAATCCATGTGTCCTTCTGCTGGTCCTTGAGCCAGCACCAGTAGTGGCCCGAGTTAGTGTTTGTGCCGATATGACATTGGATGGCGTAGAGCTCGTACTGGGTAGGACATACGAGGCCGTCGTGGAAATTGATGCCTAGGATTTTACCAGCCTCTGCTCGCACCGATTCATCGCAGCTCCAAGGCTGAAGGTCAAGCTCAAGGGGGAAGGAGACCTGAGTGAGAACTTTTTCGTTGCCGCCCGTCGCCCTTCTTATATGTACGCGCAGCAGGCGAGGTAGCTTCGCTAATCGGGATGTAGATTGAGCATGTTTGTGCCCGCAAGCTTTATTTCCACAGGTCATTTCGAGTTTTTCAGATCCATACTCGCGGTGAAGAAGGTCTTCAAGTTTGAGCACTTGATTGGGCGATCGACTTTTCGTCGTATCTGGGGGCGTCACTATTAAGCAACGGTTTGAATCTCGCTGAAAGGTGCGGTTTCCACAAGCATCGCACTTTCGTTCAACCAGCGTAAACACCGACCAATGGGTATCAATGAAGTTATGAGGTAAGCTAATCCGCCACTGTTGTCGATATTGATCCACTAAGGCTGCAACATCGTCGCGCGTGTTGGGCGGTATGGCGACGTTGTTCATGGCTTGGAAGAAACGCTGGCTCACGTTGGTTTCAGCTGCGATTTCATCAAACATGAAAGAAAACAGCTCGTCGGTGTCGTGTTGGTTATCATCGCCTAGTCTGACAAGCCTGTTACCAGGATTAACATAGTATCCTGTGTGGACAGAACGCATATATTTCTAGTGTATACGTTAGCAAGAAATTACCTAACGCATGATAAATAGGTAGGGAATACGAACCAGGAGTGCAGTTGGTACCGCGTCCTTGAGCCGCTTCTGGTATAGCCACATCAATGTCGTTTTTAAAATCTTGGATAGTAGCTGTGGTGAAGTAGGTTCTTTATCGCCTGCTTGACGCCAGTCCTGAGGCCATCGTTCTTCGAGTATACCGCCGATGAACCCATGTGAAGCAAGTAATACTTGTATGGTTGAATTGCAGTAGCATGTATTTCCAAGGTTCCGGAGTCCAGTTAGGAGTTGATTATCCGCCGGCCAGTCTGCTAGGGCTCGTTGTCTTGTTGCTGTCATGGCAATACCACCAACACTCGAGTCGTCATCCATAGATTCTAAGCCACTATACCTAGTTCTTGGGATAGCAGGTGCCGGCAGCTTAGGAGGTGTGGGAGCTATGCTGACTAGGAAGTCTTCCTGCGAATCCAAGTCCCCCTTAACAGAAGTCATGGATTCGGGGTCGCCTATTATACTAGGATAGCGACGGATAAAGTCTTCCCTTGTTTTGACATAGTCGAAATTGTCGAAATTGTCAAGTCCCATCTGGTCATTTTTTATCATATCCTCGAATTGACTAATCTCATCTTGATTAAGGGTCTTGGTCTTGGTCCGGGTTCGTCTTCTGTCGCCGTACCCGTGCCTCGAAGCCGAGCTCGGAGAGACGTAGTTTGACGTAGTCTCGGAAGTCTCGAGAGATTGCTCTCCAAATTCCTGCACCCATGAGTTCAGACCACCTCTCAGCAGCTTTGGGGCGCGTTTGAGCGGTCGGCTATAACTATAGTACGACAAGGCTTGTCGGATATTGTACAGGACCATTTCTAAAGAATCTCCAGTTATCCTAGACGATATTGAAGCGCTATTCTGATCATAGATAACCACCAAGTCAACCTTGTCGCGTTGCTCAACCGCGAGCCTCTCACTTGGAGGGGCAAGAACCATGCTATCAGCAATCTCATCTGCGGATATATTTTCTCGCATTAGAATCTCAGGCTCGATACAAATCGTCTTGACTGATTTGATATGTCCCTCATCAAAAGACTCACGATCCCGAACATCAATTACTAAAACGTCAATCTGCGGGTACTGGTTTAAGAGACCTGCAAGTGTTTCGGCTGTGATATCATCGCCGTCTGGAATTTGAAATTCCGTTAGCGTAGCTGACGGTTGGGGGACCCGGTAAGAATGGGCCGCCACAAACTGTTCTCTGCTAAACGCCCTGATGGCATTTTCCGTCGATATGCGAGCTAAGACACTAGGGGCCGAGGTGATCGAATTTGTCCGACTGAACATACCACGAGGGGTGCTGGAAGGAAGGTTAGCGATCTCGCTAGTTACGGTACCTCTCGCGGGACTATATATGGCTTCTGGAAGCTTTGGCATCGTAAGTATAGACGTATCAACTAAAGGTAACGTCTGGCTTGGAGTGGACTCTTCGGTAACGGCCGATTGGGCCTGGTCGAGTGCTTTAGTGGCGTTTCGAGACTTTTGAGTAGCACGCAACCGCGCAAATCTATTTGCGAGATCTTCGGGGGAGTCCTTTTGGGTCTGCTTAATAGCTCTTCCATGCAATGCTTGTGGCTTTGGTTGTATCATTGGCTTTGGCCTACGTCCCCCAGCCGCGTTGCCGCCAGTATCGTCCGTAATATCTCCTCTATTTAGAGCTTCTAGTTCATTTTTAAGTCCATTACTTTGGGGGCCCATGGAATGGTTTGCCTGAACCTGCTGCGGCGTCGAAGATGGGTTAGGCCAGTTCAAGCGGGCGAGTTCGAAGGAACGCTTAGAAGAGATTGTTGGCTGCACACCACTCCGCCTATTATCCTCTTTGATTTCCTCCTTAATCTTGTCGAAAATAGCTCCATTAGTAGTTATTTTCATCTTGAGGGCCTTGTATAAGCGGTTCAAGTCTCCGCGGTCGGAACTCATAGAGGGATAATCTTTATGCCTGGGTACTTTATCGACAGCGATTGTAAATGCTTTGATGTACTCTTGCAGTGCCAAATCAGGACGGCGGAAATCGCTATAGGTTGTTGCCTGTCGCATATGGGCATCTCCAAGCTCGAGGATTTTTCGTAGAGGAGTATGAGGGTCGAGGTCGACGCCAACCGACACCAAATCATCTATATGGCGATATGGCGACTTTCCCGTACCCGAGCTACCATTAAACATGTTCGTACTGATTTCCTTTGCAGGCACCCGGCGATCATTACTTGTATTAGAGGACATCGTGCCATTCGCGCCCACTACTGGAGCGATAGAAGCCCTTGTAAACGTTACGGAACTCATGTTTTCATCAGTGCGACACCAAAGATGTGCAAATTAAATTCTAGGCGACGAGGATCGTATAACAAGGCGGGAGGTAGTCGGAGAGGAGGACTTTATGTACCGCAATTGTGCTGAGGGTGGGGACTGGAATGGGGTGGCATTCTTTCAAAGAAGAGCCGGATCTGTGAACGGCGCAACACTCGAGGTTGAAAAGGTGGGAGAGAGAGACGGGAACGGAATGCTGAAAGAACCTGGAGAATAAAAGAAGAGAGAACAAAAAAAAAGATATTAAATGCACAATGGCAAAATTAAATTGTCTGCATCTTTAAGAGTATATATGAATAGAGGGGTGTAACGTGTCGGCTGGCTGGTTGGTTGGTTGGGTGTGTTATATAACATGTATGAATGTGTTTGTGTGAAGGCGTCGTTGATGGTTGAAGGTTGAAGGTTGAAGGTTGATGGTTGATGGTTGATGTTGAATTGATGCGAAGTAATGTGTATAACGTACATGTATCTTTGAGCGGAAACTCGGTGATTGATATACCTTATCTACCCGCCCACACGTAGATACGTCTTATGTGCATGGTATATTTGACGTACCTTAGGAGATTTGCACATGATATGCCATCCCCATACCTTAAGTACATTAGGTACATTGATATGTACTACATACATATGTACAATACATCGTAGTGTACAGTATGTGCGCTCTGCGTTTCCAGCTACGGCAGCCTACACTAGTGGTGGATAATAATACGTAATCGCGGCCTTATGTTAGGTACATACCTCTGGAATATCTACATTCTCTACATACACCACATACACCACATACACCACATACACCACATACACACCTACATGTAGGCATCCCAGGCATACATAATATCAACAACAGATATCCCGATGTGTTCCCACGCAATTCTCTTCATAATCAGGCAAACAGTTTAACAGTTAACAGTCTAGTCTCATATCATCGCATCCGTCACCTCTAGAGAGCAATAACTACTTCCGAATCGTACCCCATATCTCCCCTGAATCTCTCGCGCATCATGATGGGAGGTTGGTGGTCGTCCTCGGCCAACAGTGCCTTGGACGAACAGATTGATAAAGCAACCGGAAGTAGTCTGTATGTCTATTCTACTAACTATTCTACCAATTCTTCGTTAGATTACTGATGTATCATCTAATATAGGGAGGATATTCCCCTTAACCTCGAGATCTCCGATGTCATTAGATCCAAAACGGTACAACCTAAAGAAGCTATGCGCTCGCTCAAGCGTCGCATCGGCAACAAGAATCCCAACACTCAGCTGAGCGCGCTAAACGTACGAACGCTTCTCTCGGTCGTATAGATTCATATGCGCTTCTCCTACGATGCTGACATGTGGCGTAGTTGACGGACACTTGCGTCAAGAACGGCGGCTCGCATTTTCTCGTCGAGATTGCTTCGCGAGAGTTTATGGATAATTTAGTATCTCTTCTCCATGCAGTTGGCCCCGCCGAAGTTAATGTCGAGGTCCGAGCCAAGATATTAGAGTTGATACAGTCCTGGGCCGCCGCTACCGAAGGTCGCTACGACCTAAAATATATTGAGGAGACCTACAGGGCCTTGCAAAGAGAGGGGTTCCAATTTCCTCCTCGAACAACCGTGGCGAGCAGTATGATCGACAGTAGCGCCGTATGTATTGTATATTATCAGGTGTTCTTATACACGCACCGCTTCTGGACAAGACAAGACTAACTGGTTTATAATAGCCCCCAGAATGGACCGATTCCGACGTCTGTATGCGGTGTCGGACCCCATTTACATTCACGAACCGTAAACATCATTGCCGGAATTGTGGCAATTGTTTCGACCAACAATGTTCTACCAAGACACTTCCTCTGCCACATTTGGGTATCTTGCAACCTGTGCGGGTTGACGATGGCTGCTATGCCAAACTAACAGACAGATCTACCAAAAATAGCTTCGGGAGACATGAGCGCTCTCCCACAAGCCCTTCATTTCCTCATAAAAACCGCAGTTCGTCCGCCATGTTGCCTCGAAATGCCAGAGTGGACGACGCCTTCGACGAAGACCTCAAGAAGGCCTTGGCAATGAGTCTAGAGGAGGTCCAAAGTCATTCCAAGGGCTATGTCCCTCCAACAGACAATACTCCTCGGCAATCCTATGCGAAGGCCAGCGATCACTCGTCTACACCAGTAGTTGCACCTGCAGCCGAGGAGGAGGATGAAGACTTGAAGGCTGCCATCGCGGCATCTCTGGCGGACATGGAAGAGCAAAAACAAAAGCATTCCGCTGCCTTAAAACAGCAGACAAACAAAGTTGAAAGCATGTCAGCTACATCATTCGCGTTGCCCAAGAATGATTACGAGCTCACCCCAGTCGAGGCCGAAAATATCAACCTTTTCTCCACGTTGGTCGACAGGTTGCAGACGCAGCCTCCCGGTACGATACTGAGGGAGCCGCAGATTCAGGAGCTTTATGATTCCATCGGGGCGTTGCGACCAAAGCTAGCGCGCACGTACGGCGAAACGATGAGCAAACATGGTAAGTTATTTTCTGAAGGTTCTAGATTCCACTTCCAGCTAATCACGATTCAGATACCCTACTCGACCTACATGCTAAACTTTCCACTGTTGTTCGATATTACGATAGAATGCTAGAGGAGCGCCTTTCAAAAGCTTACAGCCAACATAATATTAGTAGCTACGGCTTACCCAGCTCCGGACAACAGACCGGCCCATATCCCTCAATTGAATCTACTACCGCCAGGGCTCCTACGTCAGCAGAGAATTTCTATACAGGCGACCCACTTCCAGATTCAAGTAGGAAGCCTGCAAGTCACCAATACCTCCAACATGTCCAGCCAGGTCTGCCACAACCATTTGCAAGCTATGACAAGAGAGCTTCGGTGTCGGCGCCCTCGAGCAACCAATATCCGCATCATGCAGGACAAGGAAGCGAGGGTTGGCAAAAACAGGGGCCATCCGCGCCAGCCCAGTACCCCGGTCAAGCAAATTTCACACCCAACGACGTCCCCCCTCAGCCTAATCACATATCTCATCCCTCTCCGCAAACTCCTCTCAACAGAGCCACCGAGCCAGTAGTAACATCAGCGGCCGACCCCAGTGCTACGTATTATTATAACAACCCTCAGCCGAGCACCGATCATGCCACGCAGGGTATACCTCCAGAAGCGTCACCGTCACCGTATCCAAACCTCCAACACAGCTTAAGCTATACCGGGCAGTCCATACCTCCAACACCTGCTTCTATTCCTGCGCAAGCATCGCAGCCCTCACAGCATTATCAGCCACCTAATCAACAAGCACAACAGCCATATTGGCAACAACAACAACAGCAACATGCGGACCACGCCCCCCAAGCATATCAGACAGCCGGGGCAGGGTACTCCAGATACAGACAGGACTCGTTCCCTGCTGTTCCCCAACATACACCTCAGCAACCTGCCATAGAAGAAAGTTTGATTGATCTATAACTAGGATAAGCAGGATAAAGCAGGTTCGGATTTTGTCACATGAGTGGAATGGGATTAATAGTAGTCAACCAGACGAGAAAGGTTCCTTCGCTGAGAGGTGCAATGCATGAGACGTATGGCAAATTGCCTAATTTTCTATTTTATGCTGTGCCTAACTTCTACTTGAATTTCCCACTCCTCTTCTTCCCCTTTGGAATATCAAGACCCAAATTTGGGACTACAAAAATGTAGCTGAGATGCTGAAGGAATGAATGTTGTTGTATGTGTTACGAACAGCAAAGTTGGTGCGAAGAACATGATTTATTATGAATTGAAGAAAAGAACCAATGTTTCGCCAATCCGATTAAATGTCTGAGGCTCAATAGGTATACATAGATACCTAGGTACCTATATGTACATAATATACGTAAAGTACCTAGGTAACCTAAGGTCACCCCGCTACGTCATCACCACTCGGACGTACCTAATGTAGGTTCCTGTGATTGTTTGTACGCGTACCTACGAAGGAGCTTATCTGAATGCACGCCCCTCTTGCCCCTCTTTTGCTACTTTGACTCACTCAAAGTAAAGCTTATATCGTGCTTTGACCCCCATACCTTGGAACTATTTATGAATACCGTTACCCTCAAAGCCATTGAGAAGCAATAGTTTCTTTCTTTTTTTTTTTTCTCAAGACTTATAACCTTCCTAACTAGACACAATGTCCCGCCACCAAGCATATCGTAATTACGACTACGAGAATGACCTCGACGAATATGAAGCAGACGAATTTGGAGATGAGGAAGAGGAACTAAGCTCGGAAGATCAAGGTACCTGAGCTACACATATCCCATTATATACCTAATACTCCTGCTAATAAGCCAATGAAGCACAAATGAACGTCGGTACTGCCCAAGTTCGAACCGCTCTTGGTGTGGAATCATCCAAGGTTACCACCAAACAAATCCAAGATGCGCTATGGCATTACTATTATGATGTCGATAAATCTGTGACATATTTAATGACTAAATATGTCGCGCCTTCAACCAAGAAGAAAGGGGGAGGTAGGTAATCTATTTTCTTATTCTGCCATTGTCCTATCAAGCCACACAATATAGCACCTGTGCGAAGGTCTCAGCCGTAGGGCAGCAGCATTTTATGACCCCAGGTGCGTCTCAGTGTGAATATATCGGATATCCAGCTTGATCATTTGGCTAACACCGAAGCTGGGGTTGGTAAAGGTGAAGCACATGCACTGCACGTCTCATTTGCTGGCTTCTTTAGCGACATGCCGTGGTTAAATATCCCAAAGGATCGAGAAACTACATTCATCGCACCACCACAGCCCCGAGGCGGGCTGCTAGGGGGTGCTAGCGCAGATGGCAAGGTTTCTAAACTCCAAGCACTCGCTGCTGCTCGCAAGAAGAAAGCAGAAAATAGGAAATTGGACGAGAAACAACTACAAGATGCAACACAGAAATTAAGCAACCTCTCCATCACACCAACGCAACCTGAATCTAGTAAAGAGAATGTGCGGCCGACCGCAACAGCGCCGAGGGGAACTGCAGGGTTTACAAGCGCTAGCATAGCCAGTATATCCCAACAGACAGGATCTAAAAGCCCCGAGGTTGTGGAGGACAAGGTCCAAAGCCAGTCAGAAAAAAATACTACCGAGCCAAACAATCCACCGGGATTTACGAACCCTTTACCAGAAACCGTGCCATTTGAGGCTGCTGCGCCGTCTCCCTTCGCCCAGGCCCTTCTCGGCTCCATTAACGGTTCTAATAATTCCGTGCCGAGAACTTACCCGTTTCCTTATATCAATTTGACTTCATCTGTAACTGACGCATTCTCAGCGCCAAGTCCAGATGATGTAGTCTTGGCAGCACAGTCCCAAGGTTCGCTCTTAGCGAAGAAGGCCGTTAAGTAAAAATACTAATACTTTGGGATCAGCAAGCAGTAAAAAGATTGCTGCTAGTACGACTAAGAAGAAGGCCAGCGCGAAAGGAAAAGTCGAAGACGTTACGGACGGTGTAAAAGGCCTTAATATCCCTGACACGCCATTACCCAAAAGCAAGAATGTTGATGTGCTTAAGGAATTTGAGAAGACTAAGAGGAAGAAGAACGCAAGCTTCGTAGTCGTCGGTAAGTATTACAAATAGGTCTCAGTGCGTCGGTACTCATACTAACTTGACAAGGCCATGTGGACGCTGGTAAAAGTACCCTGATGGGACGCCTGTTGCTCGACCTCAACGTCGTTGACCAGAGAACGATACAGAAATATCGAAAAGAGGCCGAAAGTATAGGGAAATCTTCTTTTGCACTTGCGTGGGTGCTAGACCAACGATCGGAAGAGCGATCAAGAGGCGTAACTATTGACATCGCAACAAATAAATTTGAGACGGATAACACATCATTCACGATTCTGGATGCGCCTGGACATCGAGATTTTATCCCGAACATGATAGCCGGCGCGAGTCAAGCAGACTTTGCGATCTTAGTGGTGGACGCAACAACTGGCGCATTTGAAGCTGGGCTCAAGGGACAGACAAGGGAGCACTCTCTTCTCCTGCGCAGCATGGGCGTCTCCCGAGTTATTGTCGCAATCAATAAGCTGGACACGGTTGGCTGGTCTCAAGAACGGTTCGATGAAATTTCACAACAAGTATCCGGCTTCCTCTCGGCAACGGGGTTCCAGCCCAAAAATGTTAGCTTTGTCCCCGTGTCCGGCTTACACGGGGATAACATAGTAAAAAGGGCCGCAGACGCAGCAGCCAACTGGTATTGTGGGAAAACGCTCGTCGAGGAATTGGAGAGCTCGGAACCAATGGCTCGAGCATTGGACAAGCCTCTACGCTTAACTATTTCCGAAGTTTATCGTACAGCACAGAGCCCGCTTACAATATCCGGGAGGATAGATGCTGGCTCGGTGCAGGTGGGCGACGCACTAATCGTTCAGCCTAGCGGCGAGAAGGCTTACGTCAAGTCTTTGGAACTTGATCATGAGCCAGTGGACTGGGCCGTGGCGGGACAGAATGTCGTCATTCACCTCAGTAATGTCGACCCGATCCACGTACGCGTTGGAGATATTATCTGTGATACGAAACAGCCAATCGATTGTATCGATACATTCACCGTCAAGGTACTAGCGTTCGACATCCTAATGCCGATGCAGGTGGACGTACACAGGGGCCGTTTACACGCCGCGGGCCAAATCCTAGAGATACCAGCTTTGCTCGACAAAACCAAAGGCACGATACTAAAAAAGAAACCCAAGATAGTGAAGCCAGCAAGCGTGGCGAGAGTAGTAGTCAAGATGACAACTAAAGTACCGCTTGAAACAGGCCAGCGTGTTGTGTTGAGAAGTGGAGGCGAGACTGTTGCCGCTGGATTATTAGAATGAGAGCACGACGCGCTCTACGTTACGAGGCTGCGTACAACTTTATCAGGTTTACCTTGTGGGATAAGCGGCGGGTATAGCGAACAGTCGGTCCATGTATACCTGACTTAGACTACCTATAGATCTAAGATAGTACCTATGTATAATGCAGTGTCACGTTTGAGGCTCTAAATACCAGCACAGGCTGAACTTTATTAATGAGGACATACATATCTCTGATTGACTGTATCTGCCACGTTACCATAAAGGTAGCTACCTACATATGTGAATAGGTACATATTCCTTACGGTTTATATACACTTTACTACACTGTCATAGCGCTATAAGGCTAGCAGGGATGTCCCGCATTAGGCGGGGCTGGGGCTCTAAAACAGAGTTGGGACAATCTGGCTTCTGCGCCAAAGAGGCGAAGAAGGTTCCAGCGACTACTAAACTCTTTAGGTATCTTTCCAGCAAAAAACAACTAGGGAGGTACTTGTAGACATCTTTTAACTTCTTCTGAGACCCACCCATCTATATACCCCTAGGCGCTAGATCGCCAGTACTTAGGAGTACCTACGCATTCACAGTTTTAACCAATAAGAAAGACCAACTTTCACACGGGCAATAGGTAACTAGATGTAGCCGGATGTAACTAAATGGGGTCATGCAACAGAAAGAGCATCTGCATGACCCACACTTTATTGCAATGTGTTCTCTTGCAAGCTGGCAACATCATCTTGATCATTTTCTTCTACTTGGTACCCATATAAGAATTTCTCAGACACACCGTTGTGCGTCGACAAATTCTTCTCTTATTCTCTTCACACTTCACTAGTTTCTAGTGTCATACCAACTGAGCAGGAGAGGTTAAAAGGCACCTCAGCTTCAGTGTTGAATTTCCTTTTCCCTTTTTCTATATCCTAATTTCTGTTTTGTTGCTATTCTATCCGCGACAAACACCCCCCCACCATGGCTCGCTCTCAGAGCTACTGGACTATTGCCTTTGGCATGATAGCCTGGAGTCTTCTTCTATTTAGCCCTCTGGCATTCGTTGGAACTGCGAGAGCAGACGACGTCGCTGAATATGGCACTGTTATCGGTATTGTAAGTATTTACCCCCACTACTAGTCTTGAGTCTTGCAATTTCATTTCATTTCATTTCACCCTTCCTTACTAACAATCTTTTCCTTGTAGGATTTGGGAACCACATACTCTTGCGTCGGTGTGATGCAACAGGGCAAGGTTGAAATTCTCGTCAACGACCAAGGAAACCGAATTACCCCCTCGTACGTTGCCTTCACCGACGAAGAGCGATTGGTAGGAGATGCTGCCAAACAACAGGCAGCTTCCAACCCTAGGAATACTATCTACGATGTTAAGTAAGTTAAATCCCATTCTAATTCAAAAGACAAGACCATGTCGACTAACTACTACTCTCACTTCAGACGATTTATTGGCCGAAAGTGGAACGAGAAAGAAGTCCAAAATGACATCAAGCACTTCCCTTACAAGGTAGTTGAGCAGGACGGCAAACCCGTTGTCCAAGTCGAGTTCCAGGGTGCCAAGAGGACGTTTACCCCCGAAGAAATATCTGCCGTCATTCTAGGCAAGATGAAGGAGGTTGCCGAGTCCTACTTGGGCAAGAAGGTTACTCACGCCGTCGTTACTGTCCCCGCCTACTTCAACGACAACCAGAGGCAAGCTACCAAGGACGCCGGTATCATCGCTGGTCTTAACGTTCTCCGAATCGTTAACGAACCTACTGCTGCTGCTATCGCCTACGGTCTTGATAAGACTGGTGGTGAGCGTCACATCATCGTCTACGATCTTGGTGGTGGTACTTTCGATGTCTCCCTTCTGTCCATCGAAGATGGCGTTTTCGAGGTCTTGGCCACCGCTGGTGACACCCACTTGGGTGGTGAAGATTTCGACCAAAGGATCATCAACTACTGGGCCAAGAACTACAACAAGAAGAACTCGGTCGACATTACCAAGGACCCCAAGGCCATGGGTAAACTCAAGCGCGAAGCCGAAAAGGCCAAGCGAACTCTGTCTTCCCAAATGTCCACTCGTGTCGAAATCGAAGCCTTTTACGATGGCAAGGATTTCTCCGAGACCCTTACTCGAGCTAAGTTCGAGGAGCTCAACATCGACCTCTTCAAGCGAACTCTTAAGCCTGTTAAGCAGGTCCTGGATGACGCTAAAATTAAGAAGGACGAGATCGATGATATTGTTCTCGTTGGTGGTTCCACTCGTATCCCTAAGGTCCAGGCTCTTCTTGAGGAGTTCTTTAACGGCAGAAAGGCCAGCAAGGGTATCAACCCCGATGAGGCTGTCGCTTTCGGCGCGGCTGTCCAAGCCGGTGTTTTGTCCGGCGATGAGGGTGCTACCAACGTCGTCCTTATGGACGTGAACCCATTGACTCTCGGTATCGAGACCACTGGTGGTGTCATGACTAAGCTTATCCCCCGTAACACCCCTATCCCAACTCGCAAGAGCCAGATCTTTTCGACTGCTGCCGATAACCAGCCCGTCGTCTTGATCCAGGTCTTCGAAGGTGAACGATCCATGACCAAGGACAACAATCTGCTCGGCAAGTTCGAACTTACCAACATTCCCCCGGCTCCCCGCGGTGTTCCTCAGATCGAAGTCTCTTTCGAGCTGGACGCCAACGGTATCCTAAAGGTATCAGCTCATGATAAGGGCACTGGAAACACCGAGTCCGTTACCATCACCAACGATAAGGGTCGACTCAGCCAAGAAGAAATCGAGCGTATGGTCGCTGAGGCTGAGAAATTCGCCGAGGAGGACAAAGCTACCCGTGAGCGTATCGAGGCCAGAAACGGTCTGGAGAACTACGCCTTCAACTTGAAGAACCAGGTCAACGACGAAGATGGCCTTGGTGGTAAGATTGACGAGGAAGACAAGGAGACTGTAAGTTTGGACCCTTTTGGATTCAGATATACCATACCCATTTACTAATTTGCAACTAGATCCTCGATGCCGTTAAGGAGACGACTGACTGGCTCGACGAGAACGCCGCTACGGCGAGCGCCGAGGATTTCGAGGAGCAGAAGGAGAAGCTCTCGAACGTCGCCTACCCGATCACATCTAAACTTTACGGCAACGCGGGAGGTGCCGCGGACGACGATGAGCCGTCGCCACACGACGAATTGTAATGTTATTGATAGATAAATCTGTTTTCCATTAGCATACCCAGGCGTACGAATAAAGAAAGTTAAATGAAATTTTTCTAATGCCATCATTTTATGGAGTGGAGAATTATGAGCACGATGAGGATGAGGCATATGCACGGCTGGTTTTTTGGTGACTTATGTGATTGCGATTTTTGATAGTCTGAATGACAAGTTTTTTGCTTCGACTGAAATCAGATGTGAAAATTCTCCTAGCCATAGGAATAGGAATGTGTGATATATGTATGTTCATATTAAGACGAAGGAAAATGGCAATTACCTTCTAGGTTAGTAAGAGTTCCAGCTTTTTTTTTTTTTTAACATTTTATTATCTTCCCATTAATAGTTCAATTAATAGGCGACTAGAGAAATCGATAGGTACTTAAATATAAAGGACGAGGTGGCTAAACAGAATAGCTAACTACCTAGGTAGCTTTAATGATGGGGCTTTCTCTTTTTAAATAACTACATGTTATATGAAAAGAGATGACAATTACTACATAGTCTATAAGACAAAAAACTGAAGGATCCCTACGAAGAAGAAAGTTTCGATATACTACCAGCCGCATGGTTCTATACGACGCGACTGACTTATGTCTTGATATCATTTGCTATAAGTTTATACTTGCAATCACAAGTCTATACGTTGCTGCAATTCGTAGATCCCGTAAATGGGGTGGTTTCAAGTAGATATAAGCGACGGCATCGTTGCAGTATTCCGGGTGTCCTTACCTTTTGAAGATATATTTACTAACTAGTGGCAATGCAGTTAAATAATCAAAGGCGAGAATAAGCTATTCTATTGTCCGCTACTCGTTATTCAAGACAAAACAACAGTCTAGCTTTCAGTCTAGAAAAGGGGGTATCCAACATATCGCTCAGCTAGCTACCTGTCTTGATCACCCAGCCTTAGCCACGTTGACAGTATTATTCTCAGCTTCCACCGGCAGTGATTCGAGGCTCTCCCCTTTCTTCAAGCCAAGTTGTCTCGTATCCCAGCCCTTGCTCTCGAGGTACTCCCTAAACTTCACGTCCTCTTTGGTAATGGTATCCTGGTCAATGTTAGGGAGTAGGAGTGCAAGCGCAGCTGCAAAGATGCACAAGCTAGAGCTGACGTAGAACTTATACTGTGCCGATTTGGTCGCGTCGCCGTCTGGAGAATTTATATACTTAAACACATATGTACCTACGAAAGCCCCGATCTTTCCGAGAGCAGCAGCGATGCCGTAGTATTGCCCTCTTACACCTGTGGCGCAGGTTTTGGCAGCTAGTAGACCGATATTATTTCCTGGCCCTAGCTCTCCAAGAGACAGGAAGATGCCGTATACTACTGCAAAGGCGCCAACTACAGAAGGGTGGGATAGCCTGCTGTAGCAACCAGCCATGATAAAACCCACAACCGCCTGTAGGACCTGACCCAAAATAAGGGTATAGCGAGGGCCTAGACGGTCACTAATTGGGGCTCCGAGCATAGTTCCCGGAATGTAGAACAAATTAATAACCGTGTTCCATCCGAAAATGGTAGTTAGGACACCAGTATCTCCATAGATATTGGAGAGAATAGCGCTCGAATAAATTGAGAACGAGTAGGCAGAGAACTAATGAGGTTAGGAGGAAATATATTAGCTTAAGAGGGCAGGGGTAAGAAACCTACATCGTATATGAACCAGATTAAACTGACGATGAGCAACCGAAACCCGTAATATCTAATTACTAGAAGGTACGGAGTTTTGACACTAAATCATGCATAGTTAGCAACCTTCTGTTTACATACTATGCCAGTCGCTTCGTGTTGTGAGTTCTAGTCCATATGCTAGTTGCGTAGGGCAACTAGAATAGACCCTCTGGGTTGAAAGAAATAAAGGCAGACTTACTGTTTCATTGAATTCCTTGAGAATTCTTCGGGTTCCTTAAGCCTAAGACGTAAGACGAAGAGAACCATTGGGAAAGCTACGCCGATTCCCAAGCTCGTTCGCCATATTGTGCTGTAGTAAATGTTATGGGCTGCAGCGGCAACGACGTATGGCACAAATGCTCCGAAGACGAAGCCCCAGTCTATCATCGAGTTTGTGAATAAGATAAACCAGGTATTCCGAGTGCCGCCCTTCAGCTCGCCGCTGGATTCGGCGCAACTTACGCTACCGGCTGGATACTCGCCTACGTTTATGTTTTAGTCTAGCACTGGTTACTTGATTTTTTTGGCCGTATTCTTACCTCCAATACCAATACCAACAAAGAACCGCCATGCCGTCAAAATATTGAACATACCTACGGCATCGCCACGGTAGTAAGAACCAGCAGCGAGAGCCGTAAATATAATCAGGATGATGGTCGATATAAGGAGAGAGTCTTTGCGCGACCACTTGTCGGACAGGTACCCGAAGAAAAGTTGACCGACCACCTAGAGATATAAGCTTAAATCTAGACCAAACATCTTGGTGGCACTCTTACCGTTCCCGCGAACGCGATAGCCGGTACGACGCTAGCAGCATTAGAGCTACTGTAGACGTCTCCATATTCATATCCTAGCACCGTGTTTACGGAGCCGATGACCTACGTGACGCAAAAGTAAGTCGACAGCTCATACTTAGAGATCAAAGAGTGAGGAAGACTGGGGGATGTAGTGATGTATACATTATTGACGTAGCCGTCGGAAAAGAGACCAGCGCCGCAAGCGAGGACTGGCCAGATGACTTGCCAGAAGGGTTTTTGGTCAATAGGAGGTGTTGCATCGGTGGGAACCTCCGAGGATGTTGCTTGTTCCTCTTCTTTCTCCTTGCGCCAAAACATTCTCTATAGTAACAAAGATCGAAACAGTGACAGTAAGAGTAGCTAATAGCAATACGAGGGTAGGGAGGTAATGATCACGGGCGGTAGTATTAACGGATTAAAAGGATACTATCTTAGGATCTAGCGAAGAGGAATGACTACCACTTGAAGCTGTCGCCAGATACATGAATCTTATCTTAGAGCTCGACGAGCACAAGACGAGAAAGCGGAAGAGCAAATAAATAAGAGATTATGTTAAGAGATTATGTATGATAAGAAAAAATAAAAATACGTACTTATCTACCCTATACCCAACATAGCACCTGCAAGAAAACAAGAGCTCTTGCCGGGTTACGCATCCTTGGCCAGATTAGGACAAGATAACGGTGCCTCCCCCATTCGGCCTTCCCTATCCGTATAAGCCAAAGCCACGCCTGCAGTTTTTTATGAGTTCTCGAATTTAAACAAGCTATGTATCAATCGATAAAATATTCGCCTACGTAGTGTATACGAGCTGGGTGTAAGTCGTCACCGGCCAATTAGATACCAAGAATCTACCCCGTGCCAAGTCCCCCTAGAGAGCTTGTCTTTTCCGGCCTAACAGCGAGACCGAATTCTTTTTAAGCTTCAGTCTTTATTTTTGGCTCGGCCAAGGTTATCCGATGCCTTGGCTGCATTCTTTAGTCGCGTATCCAATAAATTTTTATTCTTATGTTTTATTTTACTTTATTTTATATTTATTTTTTCAGCTTTGCTCCCTCTCAAGACCTCGGTGTGGTAGGACCAGAAGAAGCAAACTTACGAATAGTGTTTGATATGGTTATCTATTTACTGCTCCATGAAGTCATCAAGCTTGATAACTTTCAGCCCTTAGAAAGAGGGACGAATACCCTATGCATTAATATATGAACCTCGCATGTTGTAGCAATACAATCCTACAGAAAATGTCCAGATGATATATCGGTCACGCCGAACTTTCAAGACATACAGCAGCACTACTACCTATATACTGTGCTATGATAGGAGGATTTACTCACCGTTAGCCCAGCAGCTCCCCAGCTCCCGTACCAGATACGTATATACATAAGATAAGCACCCGCATCAGCCATGACAGGATGAAAAAAAGGTTCGAGCCGAGTTACGTACATGCAGTATGTAAATCCAGACGCATTGGTTGTACCAAAACCGTTCATTCGGGACTTGATGTCGCAAGCTGCATGTGGTAGAGATTAATGCTCGAGTTTCCAACCTGGACGATTGAAGATGAACCTTTATATAAATATCTGGGTCTTCAATTATTAACATAGCATCAACCATGATTATATAAGTCATCATAAATTGTTCCTTAGCAATAGCCCTAGTTTAGTAGCCCCCTTCCCTACAAACCAACCTCGTCTATGAGTGACAGTTAACTATTTCATAGCAAACATACAAGTCTATACGAGACAAGACTAATAACTAACCCTACTATAGCAGCAACTTCCAACCACGCATAATAAACGCCAATTTCAACACATCGAACCTCACGTTAGTTAATCTTCCTATAAATAAACTAGAGAAATACTCGTTCCTATCCAACTCGAATCAAAAATTCCACCAGTTAACTCCCTACGTCATAAACTCCTTTCTTCCTAGCTCGATCTCTATCGTCTAGAACCGGGTTTGAAAAACTGCTAATTTTGTACACTGCGACTTCATCCTCGCGCATCGAGCAGAACGCTCCAAGGTCATCACATATTGCTCAGATTCCTCGCATCGAAATGTCCTTCTCCTCGCCGAGACACCGGCTCTTACTTCTTGTTTCCCATTGATCGTAGACTCCTTTCCTTACACGGTTCCGCCCAGAACACCAGCTTTAACCTTAACCAACCCCCCTTACGCCGTCTTCTTCCACTGCGTGTAAACGCCGATCAAACTGCTCACCGTACCCGCCAGACCAACAATCCCATCATCGAATTTGACCCAGCCCAGCGCCGACGTCGGCGCCGTAAGATCGCACAGGTCCGAGATGAGCTGGAGCCGGCTAGCATTGCGTTCCCTATTCTCATTCGTTAGTCCCGATTCACCCATTCGCTCTCCGTAAACAGGTTGAAGCAGGAAAAAAAAAAAAAAAAAAAAAAAAAAAAAAAAAAACCACTTACATAGCAATCCTCTTACTCTCCACCACTCCCTCACCCTCCTTCTTATCAACCTTGGCCTCGCGCTCCCGCAGCTTGTACAGGGTATACGTCTGCGCAACGATACTGCACAAGATACCCATCGCCCAGAACCGATACGCCTCCTTCTGCGCCCTCTTGGCGCCCTCCCACCTGCGCACGCCCAGCGCGTCCAAGATGGTCGCCGCGTCGAACGTCAGGTACCCCGCGTAGCCCAGCTGCCGGCCCACCGCCGCGTACCGCAGCACCGGGTCGTCTCCTCCGGCCTTGGCTGCTCCCCCGGCCCTGATGGCGTCGGCCGCCTGGGCCGCGGCCCGGAAGTGTTCGACGTTCTTGCCGAGGCGCAGGAGCTTGCGCGCCAGGCCCAGCTGCTTCTTGAGCGCCTCGTACGGCGCGATCTCCCCCCGCGTGCCGTTCGTGCGGTATAGGTACCACGCGTAGAAGCGCGCGAAGTACTGTACTGTGCGCAGGAGCTTGTCGCGGCCGTTGGTTGTCGCGACGAATTTCAGGTAGTGCGACACCGTAGGGTGGTAGATTACTGCGTCGGCAACCATTGTGGTTTTTGTGTGTGTGTATGTATGTATGTATGTGTGCTATTAACGCTGTTGTATAGGTAAGTATCGAGGGAGAAAGGCGAGAAGGGAGCGAGGATTGGTGATGGGTCGAACAATCAATCAATCAATCAATCAATTGCAGTTTTGCGAGAATCGCTCGATGTGCGCTATATTTCGGGCTCGGCCGGTGCGGTTACAGTTGAAGTTCCCTTGTCTGTCTGTGTAGCCGGTGGTATGGATAATAAGTAACGGAATAAAGCTGGGACATGAGGATACTTCGTACCTACCTAGGCAATGGCAGTGGATCGAAGAAGCACATGCCGAGGTCCGCTGAATCATACTCCAGCTGCGCCGGCAATTTCGCCCTACGTTTTGCCGGACGTATAGGTAGTAGTAATGTAAATACCCAGATAAGTTACCCCAGAGTTTAGTGTCCTTTCCGTATTTAGACGATGTTTGCGATTGGAATCTCTCATTGGTTACGGTTGCATCTAAAACGGAGTAACTTCAATTACAGTAAAGTCGACTTTGTAACTGTACATATGTACGTCAACTACCAACGGAAGCTTATGTCTAAAACGGTTTGAATGACAACTTCATCTCAACTACCGTTTCATTCAGCATCGCCTATCGATAGTAGTTGGGTGTCTACTCCTTCTCCAAGACATTGGGTATGAACTAGGTTAGGTATGTTCTCAAATTACGAACTACTATTAAAGTATTTTCTTTAAACATCAATCTACACAATCTTATTTTCAACCATATTCGTCTAATAATTCTATTTATTTTTATTTAAGAGTAATCTCGTGACGATGTATCCGGTCAAGTCACCCTTGGTCTATATCGAAAAATACGCAACCCCTGAAATCGATCTCACCCTTTTAGTATATGAACTAGTATGGAAACTAGGACCTTATAACACCCTATACCTGTACCTATACATAGGCAGTCGTATAGTAACTTAGCATCTCCGCATCATCGTGATAAAGACTGACCACAATGCAAATCACAGACGGGAAGTTTGGTGCAGGCCCGTATGGCATTTACGACCCTCAGTGAGGTAGGCTTGTGAGAAGGTTTTCTTACTTTCCCGACCTAGAAACTCCTCTCTATGAGATACTACGGCGTCCGTGAGAACCTCCAACCATTACCATAAGCGCCTAGTCGCAATAGGCAGACGGTAGAAAGAAAAAAAAGTAAACCACCTAGTAAGTGCAGCCTACCTTTACTCGGAGCCATAGTCGGTGGCTTTGTGCATTCCATATTAAACGAGAGACGATTAAAACTGAGCGTCGAGGCTCAGGTCCAAAGAATTCCCCCAAACAGGAAATGCGTCCACTGAATCGTCATAGTCGCGAAAGATTCGTCTAATGGTGAAATACGGCCTGTCGCGCTCGTCCTCAGTGTCCTAGCAGACTGTCTCCGTAGCGATAACCCTACGCAGCCGGTGCGGTCCTCGACGATCGGAATATGTAACGTCGATCTTGTCGAACCTCGGGAATGCTCAGTCATACTGAAACAAGACGCTGATAGATTCACCGTGGTGGATGCGGCGGATGGCCTCGGCAAATATAGGCGCCACGTCTAGTACTTCGAGCTTAGGACATAGCCTCTTGTGCTCGTCCTGAGGAACCGAGTTGGTTACAATCACCTTATCAATGGCTGAAGCATTGATGCGCGCGATGGCATCACCACTGAACACGCCATGCGTGAGAAGCGCATAGACAGCCGTGGCTCCCTCCTTGCGCACGAGCTTTGCAGCACGTGTGATGGTGTTGGCGGTATCGGCCAAATCATCAATGAGTATACAAACTCGGTTGGCAACATTACCCACGAGCATCATCGTCGCGTTTTGTCGATCTGTGATCCGCGTTGGACGTCGTTCCTAGTCACCGAGTGAGTTTGAAGACGTATACCAAACACATTCACCTTACCTTATGGATGAGGGCAAAGTCCATGCCTAAGCTATCAGCGATGGCAGTAGCTCTTTTCGCGCCACCGGCATCCGGACTCACGATCACGGCTTCCTTATAGTCGGGAATATTCTGCTGGATGTATCGCTTCAGCAGGGGTCGGCCGTACAAATTGTCCATGGGAATGTCGAAAAAGCCCTGGTATTGAGGATCATGAAGATCCAGAGCGACAACGCTACAGCATAAGTCAGCTGACATCCAAGCAATAAAACTATCTAGTGGAAATAAGGTTACGAGGGTTTCAAGATAGAAGACCTCAAGTAACAATAGCATATCCACCTGCGAGTTAAGGAAACACATACTGGTCCGCACCGGCACAGGTCAATAGATCTGCCACCAGAGTTCCAGCCTGCGCAACCCATCTCTTATACCCCGGCTTGGCCTGGAAAGTAGAGATAAGTCCGGGGTTCTCATAGTCGTGGGTAGTGTAGCTTCCTGTACGCGAATGCGTGAGGTAGTTCTGGGCCGAAGGGATATCTCCATTTGTGCTCCCGTTACCGTTAAAATAGTTCTCACTATTAGTACGAGCTAGACCATTCGTGATGCCGTTAGAAAGGGAGACTTTGCTCATAACCCTAGCAAGATCGGTCTCCTTGCCAAAACTGGCGCTCTTAATGATTCCAGGTGCAGGGGTGGCTGGAACGCTCTCGAACGTATACTTGTCCTTGGGGACTTCAGTTGGAGGTTTCGATAGAGGTGCCCCAATCTTATTATAAGGTAGATCGGGTTGTCGAGAGTAGGGAAATAACGGAAGCACGGCTGTGACGCGCTTTGCCGAGCCCGTTTTGCAGGCAGATATCACTATTTTGCTCTAGTTAGTTTCGACAATATGAGGACTCGGGTTGGGCTATGGTGCGTACTGATGCAGAGCTCTATTAGGTGGTCATTCACGCAACCGCCTCCAGACTGGATGATGAAAACATCCTTGCCTCTCACAGAGTCCTGGATTTCGCAGCGAGTTTCGCCAACTGAAAATTTGCTCAATATACGATTCCCAGGGGGAATTCCCAGCATATTGCACACGGACTCCGAGAGGGCTGGGTGAGAGTTCCCGGAGAGAATAACGATGTTTCTAACCATCTTGGTGATCTAGTACGGGAAGAAAAGGCGGTGTCGAGGGAAAAAAAGTTGACGTTTGATAAAAATATATGACTGGCTTATAGAGGAGGGTTCAATGGTTATAAGTCGCGTCGTATGCAGTGTCTGTCGTGCTCGAGGATGGATTCAAGGTTTACTGCTGCAGAGCGATCCTATTTTTGGTCCGATTGCGGTGGTAGTCCTATGTATATCCTATGTATAGAGACGGCACTGTGGTTGAACTTCAGACCTTGACAAGAGATGGGATGAAGAAGTTATAAGAGGTCACAAGACCGAAGAAGGAAGCGAGACAAGTCCAGGTCTCAAGCTGAAGCAACGGTGAACAAGTTCGTAAAGGGGATCCTGAAACTCTAGAGAAGATCCATGGCGAAGATTGTAATAACGAGGTTTGGATGGAATTGTGCGCAATCGTACTTGTTGAAAGTCTGGTTACGGCTGCATAACAGGAGAAGAAAGATTGGATGGAGGGATGAATTTCCTTGAATCCAATTGACCGCGGGGCTCACCACCTGCAACGAAAAAAAAAATAGTAAAAAAAAAAATTCTGCCGGGTTACGCAAACGGAGCGCAGTGATGTTAGTGGGCAATTGTGGGCACTATTTCGGTGGCAATCACTGCGAGCTAGCGTCAGTATTACCCTTTTACGGCCTGCTGCAACCTGCTGCACTGTCCTGCTACGTGCTGCAACTCCACTTATAACCACTAAGGTTCAGGCTTATCAGCCGCTGTCCCAGAAAACCCCCCCGTCATGTTTCATAGGTCTAGAATGGGGCGTTACCGCTAATGTTCTTTATTTAGGGAGTAGCCGTTATTGGCCGAACACCTCCTAGATTTGCCGACTTCATGCCACAATGTACCAAAAATGTACCAAACTTGCTTCCGTTCTAACCTTGCCAACTAGCCCGTCGTCATTGAAACTAATATCGCAAAATGCAAGTGTTAAGGTAGGTTAGGTACCTGACATTTATAAGTCAAGGTGCGGGTACATTCGTCTCAAATCCATCAAGGTTTACATTAACGAGAATCCAATGAGACATTCCCTATTTGTAACTAACTTTTAAACTTTTAAATGCCTCTTATTATCACACTACCTACTACATAGACTATGTACCTAGGCAATTATTCATCTGATCTCACCGCCAAGAAGTCGAGGCCATCAGATCTGATTTAAGTCAGATGGCCAGATTTGAAGCCACAGCATCAATCACGCATGAGGCTGAGGCACGTACCTTTTTGTTTACATTCATTCATTCAGTCAATCAATCTATCAGTCTTTATGATTTATGCCAGATAGAAATTTATAACATCTAGTTTTGAGTTGATTGGATAATTAATCAAGTTGTACTCTCTTGTAATAACCACTTAATTACACAAATCTGCTTTTACCTTTTATTAGTCTTTGCCATGCCTGAGATTGCCGAAGGTAAGACTGGAAGCTTATACGGAATAAGCGTTACATTGTATACCTAACCCGGACGCGTATATTATATTAACTGTGTAAAGTCGCTCGCGTCGTCCATTTCCTCCGTTTGCATTTAACTGGCAAGACCATCAGCAAGGTGATAGCTCCAGACGATAGCAATGTATTTGGGAAAGTTGGGACGAGCGGCCCGGCGTTTGAAAGGGCTCTCACGGGGAAGAAGGTGGTAGAAGTCGGCAGTCAGGGGAAATATTTCTGGATGGTACTGTCTAAACCGCCACATCCGGTCATGCATCTAGGTAAGTCGAAACAACCACTTAATAGCTCATCTATTATTATTAATGTTCAGGGATTTAATAGGAATGTCCGGCTGGGTTCAGATTAAGGGCATACAAACGGGATATACACGGTACATCGAGAGGACCAAAAACGACAAAGAGCAATGGCCCCCTAAGTACTGGAAGTTCCAGCTTGAGACGGACAGCAATCCCAAAGTAGAAGTTGCCTTCACCGACTTCCGCCGTTTCGGCCGCATCCGTCTCGTACATTGTCCCGGAGACGAAATCAGAAAGCATTCGCCTCTGGTTGAGAACGGGCCAGATCCGGTCCTCGACAAAGACGTGTTTACCGAGGACTTCTTGCGGCAGAAGATGAAGCGCAGACACGTCCCTATCAAAGCCTTGCTGCTAGACCAAGCCACGGTCAGCGGGATTGGTAACTGGGTCGGTGATGAAATCATGTACCAAGCGAAGCTCCACCCGGAGCAGTACTGCGACGACTTCGACGACGCGGACGTAAGCACATTATACAAGGCCATCAAGTACGTGTGCGAGACCGCGGTGGAGAAACTAGGCGACTCGGACGAGTTCCCGGAAGATTGGCTGTTTAAGCACCGCTGGGGCAAGGGGAAGAAAGACTCGGCGACTACGCTGCCGAACGGCGACGCGATTACGCATATCACGGTCGGCGGACGGACAACGTGCGTGGTTCCCAGCGTGCAGAAGAAGAGGGCGCGCGCTACTACTACTATCTACGACGTCAAGGAAGAATCCGTAGAGGTGGAAGTGGATGATGATGGGACAGAAAGCCGTTTCTTCAAGGATAAGGGTAAGGGTAAAGCCAAGAAGCAAGTGAAGAGAGGTAAATTAGAGGTAGAGATAAAGGAAGAGGATCGCCCAAGCAAGAAGGTTAGGACTACGAAGGCGAAGTTGGTTACGCGGGTTAAGAAAGAGGAAAAGGAAGAGGGAGACGAAGAAGAAAAGGAGGACGAAGAAAAACCAGCCCCGAAGGCGTCCCGGAAGTCGAGTAAGCACAAGAGGGAAGAAACAAAACCAGTCAAATCCGAGCCCGAGCTTGGGAGAAGGCGATCAAGTAGACTCAGCCGTGTAGCAGCTTAGCCACAAAGCCAGGAGGCAAGTGTTATTTTTATCGTGTAGTTATAATACATAACCGGTACGATTATACGGGATAGACACTTGTAGCCCCTCTACAGGTAGAAGATATATGATCGTGAGCATCAATACACGAAACATATTCTGAAGATATAATAATTAAATATAGTTAACTTAGGTGGGTATTAACAGTAACATAGGTAGTATAAACCCACAGCCAAGTACAACAATAAGTACTTAATTTTATTATTAATAATCATCATGCATCATGAGTATATGTACCCTTGCCTTGCAACGCAACACAACGCCTCGCAATAGATAGATACGCTAGACGCACCCCGGGTATCTGTATCAACAACACTGCTCCCCTATTCTTCCACAGCTACATTTAGCAAAGCACATACTACTACTACTACTACTACTATTCCCTAGTAGTTAGTTCTAACTCACAGCTCGCTGCTATTTCCCCCCCTCTCACAGCCCCCTTCTCGCGACGTCTTGTCGCGTCTATACGGCACGACATGAACCCTACTCGATACTCATGCGCATGAGCCCGTCATTCGTATCCACCATCCCTTGGAACCCCACTCGGCCTTTGCCATTAACCATCCTTCCCCCCACGTTTCCATTTCCGTTGCCGTTCCCGCCGATACTCCCATTTTCGCTCGGCGTTCCCGTCCCCGACGTCTTATCCCTCTCCCTCTCGGCGCCGTGATTACTTCCGGGTCTAGACCCGGGCCCCCACGGTCCTCCGTCCCTCTGTAGCGGGCTCTGCGTCACTGGCGACCCGTGGACACTGTTCATGCCCGGGCTGACTGCTCTTCGCTTGAGTCCATGCGTGTCAAAGTAGTCGTCGTCGCGCCTCCTCTTGTTGTTGATGCGTCGCGTGATCTCCGCTGCACTTGGTGGTATACCGCCTCCTTGCAGCATAGACGGCGGGAGGGACGACTGCTGCGGGGTAACCGATCTTTGGCCCTCACTTCCGGATGCCGGCCCGGCATTTTGGCCTGAGCCGAACAGGCCTGGACCCGCCGATAGGGACGGCGAGTCCATATTTACGTCCTCACTCATCCCAGATGACGACCCCCTAGGCAAGAGGGATGAAGGTGGTGGCGTAACTCGCGTACCTGCGACGCTGCTTGTCTCGGAGAAGGTTTCCCAGAAGTTTTTGCCCTTCGAGTTTTTCAAGGCCTGTTGCTTGAAGCTGCTCGATAAGCCGGAGTCGGTCATCATATAGTCTTCCGGTATGTCGTCGAGAGAATCTTGTGCAGTCCCTAGGTTTGGAGAGGATTGCGTGGTAGACATGTTGGGAATGTCAAAAGCCGGCAATTGACTAGGGGGTACACGAGGCTCGAGATCCATGTCGCTTTCGCGAACTTGACGAATAACTTCTGCCTCTCGGCGAGTCTCCGAGTCTACCGGGGCGCTCTCCTCCATAAGGGCGGCGCGAATACGCGCGAATCCCTTCGTTTTTGGCTGAGGGTATGCTTAGCAGGCATAATTTTAGTACGAGATAGATAGCAAGACTCACTAGTAGACTGCCCCGCCGCGTGACGGGTCGCTTAACGACGCCTCTCGTACCATCTCTAGATAGGGTATCGCTTGTATCTATAGACTTGTCATCGCTCTCGCTGCCCGAGATATGTAGCTGGTTGGCAGCCCAGCTGATGCTTTCTCTTCGGTTGTGAGGCATAGAAGCGTCCCTAAGATCCTTGACGACGTTGTTAGGCGGCGACTTAGAGAAGGTGGGTGGAGCAGAAGGGCCGAAGCCTGATCCAGCTAGACCGCGCAGTCTTTTTTTGGTATGCCTGCGCGGCCGCGTTCTGAAGCTCTGAAGACTATTCGCGGCTGGCGATGCTCCCGGCATCCACGGAACGACGTTATTACCGAAGCCAAATGGTGTGTTTCTAAGCTGCTGGCTCCCCTTAGAGACCTGCGGTGTGCTGAAAATAGCATCCTCCATTTCTTCATCCATAAGGTCGTCATCACCAGAACTAGAGGATGAATCGGACGCCAGAGGGTTCGTACTGCCGACGGAGCTAGAAATGTTCATGCGCTCTTGGTTACCCATCATGGACCATAAGGAAGTGGAGGGTTGTTCTTGACCATAATCGCCATTTCCGCGACCAGGAATATTCATGGCGCGTCCACCAATAGTGGGCGATGAATCAGGAGAGGATTGTTCGGCAAGGGTGGAATGATGTAAGCTGGTGGCGGCTCTGGAAAAATCAAGGCCACGAGAGCGACGAGGTAGAATGTTGGTTGGCGAAGCGTAGATCTGCGAATGGTCGAGTTTAGGGGAAAGAGGGGCAAGTTTGACGTGGTTGGGTGTTTGAGCGGGCGAAACAGAATCGCACTGTGGCATTTGTATCGACAATCCGCGCATAGGAAATTCTGGTCGTCTAGGTGTAACTGGAGTAGTAGTAGCCATAGTAGTAATAACAGTTGATGCCGATGTTTCTTGGTTTCTATCCTTAACTAGAGAACTGTCCGTATCGTCTTTTGATGTGCGCCTTGATGCTTCGAGTATATGTGGAGATGGTGACAATTGTGTGCCTCCACCATCAGACAAACTCCGTGTCCTTGGTTTCGAGAACGGCGACCTTTCAATATTTCCAAATCCATGATTCCCCTGGGCGCCGCAAGTATCACTCTTCATATCTTCATCCATCACTGCTGTCTCTTCATATCTATATGTAGCCATTCGAACCTCATTAATCGATATAAGTTGGTGCCCTCGGATGTATCTTTAGGTATACGGAATACGACAGTTAGCGCTTACAAGAGTCCAGTCGCTAGTTTCGGGTGTCAAAGGGTCGTAACTCTCGCGCAGAGTATCGAACTGAGCTGTCTTTTGCGTCGTAGTGATGCCGACATGGGATAGTAGAGCATCGCTTATTCGTGATGTGTATGATAGAAAAATATGGGGGGGAATTTAAGAATGAGAGTGGAAATTGTGACGTCGCGTCATGTCACGGTTGACGCGGGCAGCGATCTTAAAGCTTATCGATAATAGAGTTGCACGAATCATTGCGACTGCCGAAGTCTATTTAGCCGCCAATCAGCAGTTCCAATGCGAATATTTACATTAGGTATGTAGTACATACTGTATGAAAGTATATTCTATAAATAGATGCTTGCATTACTGACTTCGCTGCTTCGATAGGTATATGTATCTTTGATCTTAAGTAGGTACGTATAAAAGCCTTAGTTAAAGAGACTAATAACTATTGCTTAGTTACAAAGAAACGAAAGTCTACTAGTTATACAAAACTATTCCTAATTCTTTTCATTAGTTTATTAATTTTAAACTTCACGTAATGGGAACATCGCAAATCATATGCCAAGTAAATGCCAACTGTTTAAACTCTAGCTACTTATTACATAGGTAACTAAGCTTACACTAAGATTAGAGCCTAGAGCTAAGAACTACATTAATAAACTTCCCATATGTTAATAATACGGGGACTAAACAATCAATGTCTCACAAGTATGTACGTATACCTCCATTAAACAATAAGCTACCTAGCTAAGCTCGAATCTAAGTGCGTCATACTGCAAGTATATCGTCCCCGGCAACAAAGCCGTCTCCGTATCCGTCGCGTTGAACGGCAGGCTCAAGACAAGCTCATTCACGCCCTCCTTCAGCAACCCCGTCGAAAATTCAAACTTCTTGCCAAAATTCTGACATACCACGCTGCTCCGCACTCCACAGGAGCCGCTACGGTACGACGGTATGATCCACGTCTCCACATCCCGGCCGTTTGCGGCAACGGTGTACGGTACATTGGAGTACTTCTCGTTCGGGAGCGTTGCCCACTTATCGTTCCCGTTAGCCGTTTTCACGCCCGCGAGGTCGATCGTGAGCGTCGCCTTCGTAGCGTCGGCTAGTTGGTCGCCGGTGAGATCGAACTGGACGGTCCAATTATTCACGTTGTCGTAGTACGGCTGCGCGCGGAAGAAATTGGATTTTCCGGGGAAGACGCTCCAGTGTATGTAATTGAAGTCTTGGGCCTCCTTGCTCTCTCCGATCTTAAATCGTACTCCATCCGGGAAATCGGTTGGGAAATCCCAGTTTGCCCAGTACACGCGGTATTGCTCGGGCTGCAGAGGCTTCGATGTATCTGGCGCGTAGCCGTGCTTATATTCGCCTGCTGACTTGTCGGGCGTACCAATTCGCCAGATTTCTTTACCCGCGCTTTCGGGTTCCCATTGAAACTTGAAAGGGGTGCTGCTCCCGGATTTTGAGACTTCGACGTCGTCCTGGATGAACCATCCAAAGATCCCATCCGCATACACAGTCAGTCTATAAGTGCCTTCTTTCACTCTGGGGATCTCTACTACTCCGGTGTCAGGATTTATATCCGCCCAGTACTGCAGACTAGACTGGTCGAAGACATTCAGTTGGAAATCTCGCTTATTTTCGGCGAGAACAGCAAGAGGCCGTTTTGCGCCTACGGGCAATTCGATCGTCGCCTTGAACGTAGTTCGCTTAGATGACGGCGCGTAGTTGGGTACGTGCTGAGCAATGCTATCATAGAACTCGCTGTTCCATTCCGGATTTGCATATTGCGCCGCATCGGCTCTCAGTTCAGCGAGGGTTGTCTTCGGTCCACCCTTGTTAAAATAGTAATACTGCGGCCCCCAGGTGCGATCAAAGCCATGAGTGATGTTAGGAACCGGCGCGCCATGATGACCAGCCACCATGTAGTTGTACTATGGATATGAAAGTGTAAGCGTTATCTGTCTCACTAGGGTAGAATTGAAAAAAGGTTGAAAGTCTTACAACTATACCGTCTACAACTAGATCGGAGTGCAATGGACCCCCGTAATATGTCTCCCTCGTGTTGTGAACTAGCCAAGCACCGTATGTATTTCCGTCAGAACTAGTCGACCCATCCGAATACTGTCCATGAACATCATGATCACGCCAGACCTCAGCAAAGGTGTATTTCGTGAAGTAATCCGAGTATTGCTTTACGTAGGGATCATCTGTCGAGTTGCCGAGGTAAGTTGTTGCGTCCTGGACCGTGATACCTCTCCTATTTGCGTCAGCAGAGGGGATCGGTGCCCAATTGCCCTCGCTTCCGGAGAGATGAGTCCATAAATTTGTGCTCGGCCTGAAGAGTGTGCGTAACTCGCCAAGTCCTCGGAGGAAAGGCGTCTTTTGGTTAAAATAAGTGACTCGAGAGAACATATGTAAACCAGTTTCGCCCTCTCGCAAGAACCAGTACTGCTCTAATGTCTGGTTGGTAGACGCATATGTATCGCTCATGACAACACCGCCATAGGGTGTTCCGGTCGAGTCGGTACCCTTTATGAGCTTGAATCGAGCGGTGCCACCCGGGGCCCAGAATCCGCTAGGAATACAGGAACAATCCAGGTATGGTCCTCTCCCGCTACCCGCACCTATTAAATCCTGTTTTCCCAGCGAGAGCTGAGAAACTGCCCCGTTACTTTTGCTCACGGCCACGGACAGGTCATCGTTTTGTAAGATATACTGGCTTGTAGTCTCTGTAGCCTCCAGAAGCGCCTTCGCCCGGGAGGCTAGAATGGCGAAAGTCAACGCCTTCAACGACACCATTTTGCCAATAAAGATTTGCCTGGAAAGTTGTCTTACGCCAATTCGCGTGCCGGGACCGAGGGAGACATTGCAAAATATAGTGATAATAGCACCATATCACTCAGCATAAATATTCGGGGGTCGTTGTCAATTCTTGCGAGGTCTAGACTGCCTAAAAGACGGTACCTGCATCAGTATAGATGTCTCGGTCTGTCTTGTACCGAAACAGTACCTGCGGAATATTATCAACTATTTTATACGTATAATTGCAGAATGCGGGGGGATCTTGGCTGCGTACTGTTACATAGTCGATCGAAAGGGGCTAATTGCTACGGTTCTTAGTCCGCGGCCTTTTATGGAAATGACCAACTGAAGTTGCGGTTATCAACTCTTATATATTTAATTAATTCTTATAGAATTGGTCTTATATTGCGGAAGCGTTATTGAATCTTAAAAGACTATAGGACCTTGTTTATATAATTGGCCCTATAAGCCTTAAGGGCTTTATTCCTTCCCTTAATGCTATTACCATAACTCACAATTATAACGTGGACCACCTACCAATACGTTCTTTGATTCACAATACCTCTTTTTTCATCCCATTCCTTAGCCTCGCCTACCTTTCAATAAAATAAAAATCCTCGGAATGAATAATTATGTGACCTCGTCGCCCTCTAATCCTCTATAATACTGATCCTTGTAGTTGTCTCAACCATCTCAGGTATCTCATATCTCGGTATAAGTGTCAGGAGGAGGGATGCCCTAGTGAGGTGAATCATGCATAGAGTGAATGTCTAGGGTAGTAGACCAAGTAGTAGTTGTATTGAACTTAGTAACGCCTGGCCTTTCAACCTCTGACGAGGGCGCTTCGCGCCTCTTATATACTCGTATAGACCCCTGTAGCCACCCTGACCCACTATACCCTAACATAAGCCTCAACTTAACATAGGTATTTCGTCCAAAACTCAACCTCTTATATCTTATATAACCTCCTTAACTCATCCTAAAATTACCATCTTAACTCTTTAATCTTAATATACATCGTTATTAACTTTTAATTCCTCAGTTATATTAATCTCTAACTTATCTTTCGACTTATTACAATCTCTCTCTTAATAACCTTAATCCTTACCGTTATTACTATCTTACCCTAATAATTATCGCTTTAATAAACCGTTTTATTGTAACATTATACTCTTAATCATTCTCAATAAATTCGTCAATTAAATCAATAAACTATTATCGTCTTTCTTATTACTTTCTTACCTCCCAGGTTTACTACTTAAAAAGTCTACTTAGCTTAAATTAATATTTGTCCAACGCTGTTATACAATAACGCGCATTTACATTCGCATCTACATTCACATTACCTCATTCTGTACAACCTAAACCTATTTTCCAACGCATCATCTCTTAGCGCAAAACGTTGGGTTGACAAGGTTTTGTATATACGTATATACCTGAGATCAAAAATTTAAACAACAAGACGCAATACAAAACACAAGACAATAGATCCTATATGATTGATAGATGATAGCTAGCTAAGAGGGAGGCTATCGTGGGCACACAATAGATATAGCCATCGTGTGTGTGGGCATCGCTATCCAAGATCGTTAAGGCTCCGCAGCCCCGTAACATACGTGGCAGCTACGCCCACTAATATCCGTAGTGACATCGGGAATGGCCTCATGTGCGGGAGTAGCCGTGAGGGTATTACTTAATAGTAATATCCCAACATAAACCCTAACGGCCTTGTTCCTTCTTTTGATGTTATCACCGTAACTTACGATCGTGACGTGAAACACCTGCTAATAACTCTTATATATTTAATTAAAGAGTGATGCTACTTACAGATTACCTTGCCAGTCCTTCCAGGGAGATTACTTTTTAAAACAGGTATAAGTAACTAGCAACTAAAATTATTAGTAAAATAACATAGCCCCATTCCGCTCCACAACAATTTTAAAAGTCTCGCAATTTAATTAAAAAAACCAATACTTAAATACGTTAAACCTAGCATACTAGGCGGCTACCAGGCTATTAATAGTCTTTAATATAAGGCTTTAAAGCCTTTTACATAATATAAAACTTATCATTTAACAATATCTTTTTTTAAAATACCCCGTATTTATACAATTTTAACACTATTAAATACGCTTTATTATAAGGATTATAATAATATAAGTAACAATTATAAAATACGGTATATTAACTGGGAAATATGGTATACGTATTACCTTATACATAAATTACATACTATTATTTAAAAATTACTTTACTTATTTAAAAATTACTTTTTTAATAACTTTTAAAAATATAATCGCATATTAATATAATTAACATCAATTAATTCAACTTAATTAAACAATTTTAAAGATATATAAAGAGTACTTATATCTATTAAAAATATTTAATAATCTTAATTCTTTGTAAAGTCTCGTGAGATTAATGGGGTGGAAAGTGGCCATATCATTTTACTAGTAATTTTGGTAGGTAGGTACATGCACCTGTTCTGAAAAGTAATCTCCCTAGAAAGACTGGCAAAGTAATCTGTAAGTAGCATCACTCTAATTAAATACTGCCACAATTTTTTCAACAAATTAGATGCTTAGAATCGCCCCGCAGTTTGCGACTTTTCCCTTTGCTATTGTATCCCATAACGTTTAAAACATATGCGAATAGTATAGAAAGATCATGCAAAACGAGCTCTATCTAACGATACTAATTATTAAACTTTTTGTACAATACTGAAATTATCAATTGATTTTCTAAAAAATTCATCGGACGTATGTTTCAGTTTTGCGCATGATCCCCCGTCCCTCTCCCCCCTTTTCCCCCGTACGCGCAATCGCGTACAGTCAACGCAACTAGTTCCATATATTCAAAATGAACACACTTTTCTAAGGGGAGGCGGTGGGATAGGCGGTGGGATAGATGCGGAATGAAGCATGGTTGTAATGATACTTCTAGTCAAGTAACTTAGGAAACTCACTTATGTTGTTCGAGAAGAGTTAATGCTTCTCTCTAGCCAAAGTTCTGATCGTATACTATTAGTTTACCTCTCTCAGTACGTAGTCCATAAGAAGAAAACATGTAAATTTAGTTCGGTAGTTTAGGTACCTGTTATTTAATTCCAGGCTAATTTATCATTCTTTTTGTTAAACCCAACACCAATTACGTCTCCCGCCGGTACTATCACGACCTCTATGATTCAACTTAGTGAAACAGCCAACGAGCTCCAGCTTAAATGGCCCACCGGTTATATGCCAGCAGTGCTATGGTATCTTTCCTATATACGAGAAACAGGTACCCACCACCCCGCTTCAGCTCCTTGTTATTCAAGTGCGGATTATTCCGTCAATCATAGCTTGCTTTCAGATACCATTTCACATAAAGCTACCGCTGAATCTGTATATATAAAACAGTTATTCTCCTCGTTGTTTGGTAACCAGTTCTTCTCATTATTCGGTAACCAGTCATAAAATCCCGATAGACATATCCAAAACCACCAAGATGTTAGCATTCAGGGCTATTTTCATAGCCGAGTTAATCTCGAGCTACTTTATTCCGTCAGCTTTCGCGGCGGCTATATCAAATGCGGCATCCATAGCACCGGTACTCGAGAGTAGATGTAAGTACCCGGAACATATTACAGATAACTCTTATTAAGATTCTTTCTAACCGTTCTATAGCTACCGCCCAAACAGAGCCTGCCAGTGGTGACTATATCATATCGCAGTCTCCCATTTCGGGAAAAACCGTCTACTCAACCTTCAGCGCAGCCATTGCCGCCATTGACAAAGTATCAAGCTCAAAAACCGTAACCGTATTCGTTTACCCCGGCACCTACAAAGAGCAGCTCACCTTCAACCGTTCCGGCACCACCATCTTCCGCGGGTACACCGAGGACACCTCCTCTTACACGCACAACCAAGTCACCATCCAAAACAGCCATGGCGTCGACACCCAATCCGGCGAGAGCGACGTCGACTCCGCGACCCTGTACTCCCGGGCCACCGACATCCAGCTCTACAACATCAACCTAAAGAACACCTTCGGACAGACCCGCAACTACGCATCCCTCGGCTTCGCCATCGACGGCAACGGCCTCGCCGCCTTCTACGGATGCCAGATCACCGGAAACCAGGACACGTTCTACGTCAACGCCGGGTCCAGCGTGTTCGCGTACAACACGCTGGTCGAGGGGTCCATCGATTTCATCTGGGGCTCCGGGTCGGCTTATTTCCTCAACTCTACGATCGTACCCAATACCAAGGGCGGGTACATCTCGGCGATGAAGCGAGCGTCGGCCAGCACCACCGGCGGTCTCGTCTTTGACCAATCTTACATTATAGCGTCGAGTAGTGTGTCATCTGGATCCGTGTACCTAGGCCGTCCGTGGAACCAGTACGCCAAGGTCGCGTATATTAAGTCGTACCTGGATGCCTCGATTGCGTCGGCGGGGTGGTCCGTCTGGTCGACTTCCGACACGCGGACTAGTGGGGTTGTGTTTGGCGAGTATCAGAACTATGGCTCTGGGGCTGCTACTACAGGCCGCGCTTCCTTCTCGACGCAGCTTTCTAGTACGAGTGTCGCGCAGTTCCAACTTTCTAAATTTTTCTCTTCGACGTCGTGGTAAGTCAATTCTATCCGGCTTAAATGGCTCATGACTAACGATTGCCGCAGGATTGATATGACGAGCGTTAAAACTACCCCGTTTAGCGTTTAGTTCACAGTGATATATTGTGATCTGGATACTTTATTTATTGTTATACTTCTTAGTACCTATAGTTATTCTTGTCTATAAGTAGCTCTTCTTGTATTTAGTTCTATAGTTCTATGCCTAAGGTTTACCTTAGGATGTTGTGTTGAATGCGAATAAAAATTTCCTATCTGGGAGACATGCCTTGCTACCTTACAGATAATTTTCCTGCCTTGTAGCCTTGTAGAAAGCAGTAAATATAAAAGAAATAAGTTTATGCATCGGTTTAAAGCTTCTTTATTACTTAGCTCTCGAGGGTATCGAGAGTATTGTCCAGCCATGTACTAGCAGTAAATTCGGGCTATTGTAGGAGTGCACTCTAGTTTATAGGGGGTAGGTTACTAATATACCTAATAATAATAATTATAAAAATAATAAAAATAGTATAGAAACATGGTGCGGTGTAAACCTTAGGCTTTTGTGTTGCCTGGGGGGGGGGGGGGGTAACCTCTAGTTACCAATAGAGAAATGGGAAATAGCAATCTATCCATAGTCTTGTCTCCAGCTTTATGCGGTCTAAGAAGCCTTTTCCTCGTCTTTTGGGGATTTTCTTCCTCGCTGCCGGACAAGTCTTGTAATAAAACGTAGCATCCTACTATGACGAAGACGCCGAAAAATACGACGTATAAGAGGTAGTGTCGCCCACCATTTCTTCCAGCCAAAACTCGTAATGCCGAGTAGCCCAAGGATATATGTCACGATAGCAACACCGAAGAACACCCCCCAAAAACGTTTTTGGTTGTTTCTCACACTTTCGGCACCGTCGGCGTCAGCACCGTCGAAGAGGTGCATCCCGTAGAACGTCTAAGTAGGCAAGTCAGATATCTAAAATCATGTTTGCACAAATATCTGGATAGTCAGTAAGAATAACATACCGCTACAAAGCTCAGCGGGGTAAAGATAATCGTAATAACCGTGAAGACGAAAAGGTACCTGTTGAGTTGTCTGCCCTTTACAGCTTCTCGGACCGCTTGTGCGTTGAACAGCTTTGAAATATTAATATTAGTACCTGGGACCGGTGCCGAATGATACGGTATTAGGATCAAATTAATAAAACGTACACCATCTCGAAGACTCTTTACGTCTTCTATTTGCCGATCTACGCGGCGAATCAAGTCATTCTCAATAGATTCCAATTTCTCATCGAGGGATTTCCATTTCTCTTGAAGGAACGGAACGGTTGAATCCAAATCCTTGATATTCGTATAATCCCCAACAATGATATCAAATTCTTTCTGTGCACCATCCTTTGCCTTCTTCAGCTGGCTTATGTTATCTTTGATATCGGCAGAGAAAATGCGAAGGAGTTGCAAAACGCTAAAATATAATTCGGACCGCTGTAGCTTGTCATCGTCATACATAAGGGGTTCGCGAGATTCTGGTTCAGTAACGTCTCGAACCTGTTGTTAGTAAAACAAGGTGTGAGCTAATTAATATCCAACTTATTATTCAAATAGTAGGCATGAGTCGTACCGTGGTGATGAGAAGACCATCCAAATTACGTAAGGACCCAATCCATTCATCATGCCAACATTGCAGTAACGACATGGTGATATCTTGAAAGAAGATTATCCCATTTGCCCCATGGTATGAATTAAGGACTCTTGCTGGCATATTTTGTTCTTCTATGCCGTCGTCGTGAAGAATCGTAACAACACACGCACCCGATCCAGAGAGGTCTATAAGGAAGATGGCGGAAATATATTTATCCACGATAGAGTATCTTTCGAACTGGAGAGAGAGCTTTCCACCATCTCTTCTACAACGAATCCCGGACGCAGAGTGACCGGACGAGATTAGGTACGGTGCGGCGTATTTGGCACATGAGAAGTGGTGTAAATGATAACGGAAGATACACCGTCGGTCATTTCTATCACATTCAAATGACATAGCATGATCACTCAAAGGAATAGTATGCTTGTCCAGAAATCTAAGCATTATATATGTCCCACTTTTTAATTCAGGCCGGAAAAGACAAAAGAATGTTGCCAAAATACTGAGACCTAGATTTCTCACATTGCCGTCAAGCAACTCAGTGCATAAATAGCTTTGTCGTATTAGCCACCGACAAAAAGCAAATGGGATGCTAAGAATCGACAATTTTATCAGACTATAAGGTCACTCACCAAACGATGCCAATAGGGGGCGGCTCCTCGTACTCAACGGGAAAGGCACGTCTATAAATAACCCGGTGTTCGAATGATGCCAAAGCCTCATGTTCTGAACCGTAAAAATATTGAAATACGTAAACCGGCATATCGAAGATTCCGAGTGTCGAGTTATATTTCGGCCATTTGGCGCGTAGCACTTCCCTGTCATCATGGGAAGAAGGACTGACACGAGTTGACTGGCCAACCTTTGGATGGTCACCCACAAATATTCGTATTGCCAACATCCAAGGCAAGTTCTCTACAACCAAGCCAAAACTGGCCTTCAAATTATCATTGGTGAGCAGTCTTTCCTTCCAAAAGGCGGCCAAAAGGGATACATCATCGGGTGCGGAGGTCGAAGGTTGCCGTTGTGAAACTCCAGCCTCAGATTCAGCAGACCCCTCGTTATTAATACTTTGGAGCTCCTTCACCATTGTTCGAATAAGCTTTACTCCGATCAATGAGGAGCGAAATAATCTCGCTTTGGGGTTTACTCACCACATCACCACTGGCGGAACCTGCTATCGCTGTTGATGCCATGTTTGGTACTAGATGGTATGCACGTATTTTCTGTGAAATGGTTTATATCGCAAAGACGACGCCGTAATTGCTAACTAGCAATTACACCTTATATGTGACAGTTTATCTCAGCTACTCTAAGGTGACTAAAGGTGGGAGGGATGTCGGATAGAAGTAAGGGAAGTGGAAAAGAAAGATCGGGCACGATCAGGCTCCAGGACCTCAGACTTAGTAAAGGTTGCGATTGAGCAGTCTTGGGCACATGCTTCTAGCAGAAACGCCACATACGCGGCGTGCACTGCTCACAGCTAGAATTTGATTCGTTCGACTATCTCAGGGGCTGCAATGCAACAGTGATGTGGCATCTAATAAGTGAATTGCTGTTGGGGGGTACTGCAGAGCTGAAAGCTGAGAAGCACTAATTAAGGACTTTTATTATAGTTACAGATAAGGCATCATACCTACAAACTCCTTGCTCCATATATAGTATCGGAGAAACCACAACTATTCAAGGGAGAAACGGAAAGTAGGACAAGAAGCGATCTAGGACTTGCTTCCCTAGAAAATATACCGCACCAGAGCCTACGATATACCGGTTAAAGGTTAAGTTGCGCAGTCTCAGCCTTTTCAATGAATTCCCGGTACGGCTCCAGCTTCTTCTCGATTTCTCCACCTTTACCACAATATCTATCAACCTATTGTTCATAATTAGTAACAGAGACATATAGAGCGTTATAGAGCATGTATATATAGTTCAACCCAGTAGGGACACCTTCATAGGTATAAGGCTCAAGGGCGCCTTCAATAGGCCTGATAATACGGATGCCAAGGAAAAATAAGCACATACTATTGTGGTGCTTCGACCGATGTAAAGCTTGGGGTCCAGCATTTCGTCGATCTCGTCCCAGATATCTTTGAAGTACTCGTCTTTCTTAATACGCTCGATAAGATCGTTATTGCCACCCTGTCCTATGTTAGCCTTGTACGTAATCAATAGCCCACAGCTCTTAATGTTATTCCATTTCAAGAAAAGTGAGGCTTAAATCCGTTTTTTAAAGAAGATTGACAACGCACTATGAGGACCGGTTAGTATATATTCGAATGCATAACAAGCCATTCGGGAGATAAAAACCAGGGCTATGGTATGTTGTACGTACCCTCATGCTTGACGACATGGCTGGCTTCGTGAGAAAGAACTCTGACTTTCTCGTGCGCTTCTTGTCGGGAACCCCCTTTAGAAACTATCTTCATCAAGATAGCTTCGGTAATCATCTATAATATCCGAAATTAGTAGACCGCCGGCAAAATGTTTCATCGAGATAGCTTTTATATCGACGCTCTTAAGCAAGCATCAAACGGGGTAAACCCTGTGTTGTGATAGACGTACGAAGGGAAGCTCCTGCTTATTCCGCGCATCTATTCGCTTCGGGTAAACAACCAAGCCATTGGTCACGTTGTCAAGGCCGATTAGTATAGCATCAGCTAATAGGAACTACGAATTATCAGCTCTTAGTTTCCTCTGGATGAAGTCATAGCGTCGAGTCTCACCATTTCGGGGATGTCTATGCGACGAATAGCTATGCAGATTTATACATTAGTGGTATATAATAAATGCGGAAGAAGCCGCTGCTCACCGCTGTCACTATAGCACCAGAAGTCAGTGATTGTTTTTCGGAATAAGGGAATATAAAGAGCTAAGGCCTATCTTGGGGACAGCTACTTTCAAGCAAGCTCGATCATAGAATGCTAGCCCCAAATAAGTATAAAAAATGAATGAAAAGGGGCTACCTACTCTAGGGATCTTTCGAGCCATTGTGCCGAAAATGTATTGGAGAAGTTGACTGGAAGGCTCGCAAGTTTACGGCCAAGCGAGCAGATACGTTCGGAACTAAATCGAGCAAGTTAATACCATATTGCGTAGCGGATATATCATGATTTTTCACTCGGATACTCCAATAAAATAGTAAAGAGCGGCATTATACGTACCGCATAGGGTTTCTCTTGTATGCCATGGCAGAGCCTGTAGTACCGCTATTAGCTATTGTAAGATACTATTTGGATTAGAAGTGCAACTTACTTCCGATTTGGTCTTTCTCGAATGGCTCTTCCCTGATTATAGCATTAGCCGGCGGCGACACGATCCTTAAAGGCGGGTTTTTACGGACAATTCCTTTAGATTCGCAAGATGACGGACTGATGAAAGTTAGTTCTCAGTATCGCACTGTTGGTTTTATAGGTTGGCTGATTGCTTACTGTCAGATGTGATACGTTGTGCAGTGGCACCCAGGCCCGCGATAGCATTGGAGCTACAACAATTAGTCAGTAGATATTCTTGACTAAGGTATAGGTATAGATAAATCTAATATATTTTAGAAGTGGTAGGTTCGTTGTTATGTCTACTAGAACCCCCAGCTTTCTAAATAGATGGAGGGAAAAAGAATATCTCAACAATACATACATGCGAAGATCGACTTTTCTTGTATATGTCTGTGTAGATATAGGGTAGCACTGTGGTTCTTAGGGTTAGAATATTTTCGTTATAACCGGGTTTCCTACTTACGCCAGGGAACCCAGCCTTCTCGCAGAGGAGATCGTTTAATCGATCGACCTTGGCTTCGTCGCCGTTGAAGAGCTCAAGGAATGACGCTTGGGTACCCGTTGTTCCTTGGCCTCCTCGAAATCGAAGTTCTTGACGGACATGTTCGATGTCTTCAAGATCCATGACTAATTCTTGAATCCATTCCGCAGCTCGCTTGCCGACTGTAATCATTTGGGCCTGGTAATACTTAGCGATGGCAAGATCTCATCAATTGCCCTAGAAGATGCTTACGGGTTGATAATGCGTGTAGCCCAGAGTTGGTTCCTCTCGCCACTTCTGTGCAAAGTTGGATAAGTTGCTACGAAACGTTAATATTTCTTAGAAATAGTTATAAGTATTCATTTCACAAACTATATGATATTAGTATTGGAACCCGACAAATAGGAGAGCCTACGCTTCTATATATTGACTTACCCTGATGACCTTAGCGAGCTTAGGCAGAATAAGATCCATCGCATCTCGCATGAGGATCAATTCAGTGTTATCCGTAACTACAATAAGGTTAGTAATCATATGTGGACAAGCGAATACGCCGCGAGTTACCATAACATGAAGTAGCCTTTTAGGGGTCGTTAGCATTTATACAGTTATGTATATTTATAAGATGATCATACCCCAGCGTGGATAATACCGGCTGCGGCCGGCGCCACAACGCCATAAGCATGAACGTGACCCATAACATCGTGTCGGCGACGACGTTCTTCTTCTATAGCGATGTTGAAGTCATCATCTGTCACGGTAAGGTGGGATCGCATCTGTTCGAGCGCTTCGTCCGTGACTAAGGCATCTAAGTCAATAAAAGTAATTCTTACAATATTAAAGGCAATTGGCCCTTGGCAATGGTAAATCTACAAGTCTACTACAGGGAAACATTTAAACAGGCAAGTAATGACTTAGGAGTAAATGAAGGCAGTCGATTGCTTACTAGACTCGAGACCGAGTTCCTTCTCGGCTTCGGCAAGCCATAACCAAAGTTGGCGCCAAGTGCTGTGTCTGCTCCTCTGGCTGAACAACTTCTTCATTTCCTCGCTAGAGTAGCGGGAATCCAGAGGCGTTTTGTAATAATCGTAGCCCGCCATTGTGAAATGCCGTTGTGCGAAGCCACTCGGGTAGGTTGATAAATGTGATAGGCGTTGAAGTATGGTTTTATCGCGCAGCGAATTGTAGCGAATTGTAAAAGTACCTGGTGGGATAGAGGCGCACAACTGGAACTTATGAATGAAGAAAAGGGGTTATATAACCCAGGGTAAGATGACAAGGCACAAGAAGAAAATAAATTA